CCGCCGTGATTCCCCAATGCGTGTTGACGAAAATTGCAATTACAAATTTCATTCGTGCTGTCGGGGATCAAACCCGGGAAAATTTACAGCGAACGCTTTGACCCAGATCTACTAATACGATACAAATAAATACGATTTAACATATATAATAAAAAACTCTTACGTACTTGAACACTTGATAGCTCGTGACGCCTACCGGACAAAGCTACATCACAATATAATTGAAGATGCGTAACCGCGACATAATTCTCAGTGATGCGCAAGCATAACAGGCAGTATGTCACTTATATAATTGTCATCTCTGCAGTCTATTAATCTTTGCACTTTTATAAGTAATACAGAATGTAGTTGCTAGACGGTGTTGACGTCGGCTAAAATATCTGCCGTCGCCGTCTCGTCAATCGCCGTTTCGTCAAGGTCATTCAGGCTAGTTAAAGCCTTAATTAATCGTCAACTTAATCATACACACACACATACACAAAATTTCACCAATATCGGTCCAGCCGTTTAGGAAGAGCTCAGTCACGTTTGTGACTGTCAGAAAAATTATATCTCTGTTCCCCGCGAGTTCGCCCGCGTGTAATTTAGGGTTTTAACTGTGTTACGCGGAACCAGTGGCGTAGCGTGCCTTAGATAGGCCCTGTATCAAAATTTGTTGGGGGGCCCCAATGAAGAGTAAAGATTTCATAAAAGCAACAAAAACGGTTGCATTGATTTAAAATTATTATATATTAGTTATAAGGTATTGCCGTGTAGTGGCGGTTAAGAATATCTACTACCCCATATCTTCCCGTGGGTGTCGTAAAAGGCGACAAAGGGAAACAGGTAGGAGATGGGCAGCAGCATCTTCCTGATAACAGCAAAAATACAATAAAAAAACTGCGGTTGCCAACCCGCTCGCCAAGCGTGGCAACTATGGCAAATACCCCCCAAATGGATAAAGTTACTAAGAGACGGCCCCCAGTCCCCGGCGGCCCCGCTATTCCTGGCTACGGTGGCGACCATGGTAACGGCGGGGCAGGGGGTGCTAAGAATCTCCGGTGGAGGTTCGGTTGCCACCTACGACGACTCGACCTGGCAACATATAACGCACGCACCCTGAGGACTGACGAGAAGATTGTGGAGCTGGAAGAAGAGATAGACAAGTTACGCTGGCATATTATAGGATTATCCGAAGTCCGAAGAGAGGGGGAGGAAACGGTAATCCTCGAATCCGGCAACTTGCTCTATTACCGGGAAGGCGACCATCTGTCCCAAGGAGGTGTCGGATTTATCGTCCACAAGTCTCTCGTTAACAACGTTGTAAAGATTGAGAGTGTGTCGACGAGGGTTGCGTACCTTATACTCAGAATCACCAAACGGTATTCGCTGAAGGTCATACAGGTTTACGCACCAAACTCGGCACACCCCGATGAGGAGGTGGAGGAAATGTATGAGGACATCTCTAGAGCCATGCATTCCTCCAAAACCCAATATACGGTGTTAATGGGAGACTTCAATGCAAAACTAGGCACGAGAGAGAATGATGAGCTGAAAGTAGAGAAATATATAGTAGAATAGGGCAACGAAACCCAAGGGCCCAGCAGCTGGCCGACTTCATGGAGAAAGAGGGACTCTTTATGATGAACTCTTTCTTCCAGAAGCGACCCCACAGGAAGTGGACCTGGTCGAACCCCGAAGGTTCGACAAAAAATGAGATTGACTTCATTATGGCGACTAGACGACAACTGTTCAGTGATGTCTCAGTGATCGCGAGGGTGAAAACCGGCAGCGATCATCGAATGAATAAACGTTAAGTTGGAGAGGTCTCGTCTAATGAAGTCAACGCTCTGTCCTCCTCGTGCTCTAATACAAAGTCCCGAAACCTTGCAGCTCGAGTTACAAAACCGTTTTCAATGCCTAGAAGACTGCAATGAAGTGGACGATATGAATGACAAGCTCGTGGAGACTGTCCATGCGGTCGGAGCTAAGTTCTGCAAGACCAGCCGCAGAAGAACACATAAACTTTCCGATCACACTCTTAACCTCATGGCTGTTAGACGGGAGATGAAGCTACATTCTTCAACAGATTTGACAGCATACAGGCAACTGAACAGACAGATCTCCAAATGCATGCGGCGGGACTTACGCAACTTCAATACAGCTCGTATTGAAGAAGCGATCGAGCGGAACCAAGGCTCCAAAGTGTTTGCCAGAGATCTGTCTGTCAGAAAGAGCCAACTGTCAAAGCTGAAGACAGATTGTGGCAGCATCGTTTCCGGGGCACCTGAGATTTTGAGTGAGATTGAGAGGTTCTATGGGCAGCTGTACAGGTCATCGTTGGAGCCACACGCAAGTGTGAGTAACGATCCAAGAGCGAGTCTTATCCGACACTATTCCGATGATATCCCGGACGTCAGTCTGAGCGAGATTAGAATGGCTCTCCAGCACCTTAAAAACGGCAAGGCCCCAGGCGAGGATGGAATTACAGCGGAGCTTCTGAAAGCGGGTGGAAAACCGGTACTTGAAGTCCTTCAGAAGCTCTTTAATTCCGTCCTCCATGGTGGCATTACAGCGGAGGCGTGGAGCAGAAGTGAAGAAGGTTTTGTTCTTCAAGAAAGGCGACAACGCTCTCTTGAAGAACTACAGACCGATTCCCCTTCTGAGCCGCGTCTACGTGCTGTTTTCGAGTCTTTACGAATCGTCTCGCGCGCAGACTTGACGACTTCCAGCCTCCCGAACAAGCCGGTTTCCGAAAAAGCTTTAGCACCATAGACCACATACACACCCTTCGGCAAATTGTACAGAAGTCAGAGGAGTACAATTTGCCACTATGTCTGGCGTATGTGGACTATGAGAAAGCCTTTGATTCCGTCGAAATTTGGGCGGTGTTGCAGTCCCTTCAGCGGTGCCAAATTGACTGTCGGTATATCGAAGTGCTGAAGTGCTTGTACAGTAGGGCTAAGATGGCTATCCGAGTACAGAACCAGAGTACGATACCTATCCAACTGCAGAGAGGTGTAAGACAGGGTGACGTTATATCCCCGAAACTCTTCACCGCTGCATTGGAAGACGTTTTCAAGCTTCTGGACTGGAAAGGATACGGTATTAACATCAATGGCGAGTACATCACTCACCTTCGATTTGCCGACGATATAGTCCTTATGGCAGAATCGCTGGAGGACCTAAGCACTATGCTCAATGACCTCAATTCCCAACGGATAGGTCATAAGATGAACATGGACAAAACAAAGATCATGTTTAATGTCCATGTCACATCTATGCCGGTAGTTGTTGGGAGCACTAAGCTCGAAGTTGTTGACGCGTATGTTTACCTGGGACAAATAGTCTGACTAGGTAAGTCCAACTTCGACCGAGAGGTCAATCGACGGATTCAACTCGGTTGGGCAGCGTTCGGGAAATTACGGCACATCTTCTCGTCAGGTATACCTCAAAACTTGAAAACGAAACTGTACAACCAGTACGTGTTGCCAGTGATGACATACGGTACTGAGACGTGGTCCTTCACTGCTGGCTGGATGAGGAAGCTCAAGGTCGCTCAGCGAGCTATGGAGAGGGCTATGCTCGGAGTTTCTCTGCGTGATAAACTCAGAAATGAGGATATCCGCAGTAGAACCAGAGTGACCGACATAGCCCAAGGGATTGGTAAGTGGCAATGGGCCGGCCATATAGCTCGAAGAACCGACAACCGATGGGGAAAAAAGGTTTTCGAGTGGCAGCCTCCTACCGGCAGGCGAAGTGTTGGACGTCCCCCCACTAGATGGAGTGACGACCTGGTAAGATATGCAGGAAGTCGATGGATGCAGGTGGCTCAGGACCGTGCTTTGTGGCATTCCTTGGGAGAGGCCTATGTTCAGCAGTGGACTTGTGAAGGGCTGTAATGATGATGATGGTGATATAAGTTATTACTTAAAGTATTAATTGTAAGTAAGTATTAACTCGTAGGAACTAAGCTAGCCAAACAATTCAAATCAAATATACACTTTTCTTGCCTTTTGCTTGGCGAACATAGCTGAAGTCGATTCAGTGGCATTCATAGCTTAAGACGATTTCAGTTTTTCTAAATTCTTTGCTGTCTATAGAGACAATAGTGATAGCGTTTTATGTCCCATAGAAGTCCTTGGAATTTTGGCTTACACAGATTCGGGGCTCCTGTAGCCCGGGGGCCCCGTATTATTGATACGGCTGATACGGCGGTAGCTATGCCCCTGCGCGGAACTCTAATTATTTTTCCAAAATATAAGTAGCCTAATTTACTCCTTATAACATCAGCTATCCGCCAGTGAAAGGCCCATCGAAATATGTCCAGCTGTTTCGGAAATTAGTCGGAACAAACAGACAAAGAGAGACAAAAATGTTAAAAGTTGTGTTTTTGTTATAAGTATCGTATATACTTTCATAAGCATTTAGTAAAAGCTTTTATTTTGACATTACAAACAGACAATTCAATTTTATTTATTTGTATAGATTATGTCGCAGTAAGATAGTTAAAGCAGTGATATAGTTATATCCCTAGGCATATAGCTATACTTGTACCGCAATATAGTTATATGAAAGCGGTTCATAACTATCTTACTAGACTAATCTAGTAAAATAACTGTAATTGTAAACTAAATGTACGAGAGGAACAAACGCGACATTGACATTGGATCTTAAGCATAGACTAATAAATATGTAGCAAGCTAATCTTAAGTTCCTGTTGTGTTGTTGCTCATGTTCCTTTTTTGACAGTAGATTAAGGTGCGGTTGAGGTGGCCCTGGGGCCACGCTAAAGCCGCGTACATTACAATGATATAAAACATAATATTGAAAGAATTTCACTTTTTAATTTAAAAAATTCAACAAGTATAAGTCAAAAATAGTTCTGTGTCATATCAGCCATGTTTTCGAACATTGGTCACTCGTGGAACAGGAACAGTTTATTTAAGTTTAGAAACAGTTCCAATCTGTTATTTTTAAAAAGTTTTTTTTTTGTTACGATAAATACGCCTCACTCCTACCTGGCTATGACTTCGCCTCAGATCGAGAACGATAGTGGTTCTTTGGTGTGGCTGATCCGGTGTCAGACATCTCCGCGACCCTCTGGACTTGCCGCTCGCAAGCGTTGGTGCCGGTGTGAGCGGTCTTGAGTCTGTCTCCGTGTACCTGTAGGGAGAAATAATTAATACTTGCACTGTATATTCTATATTGCCATATTTTATTCTACAATATGATAGATATATACTATTTGAAATTCATTATATAGCCTCATCATATATTAATTACATATATCAACGTGGTAGGGCCATGCTGCTGCCATATTATGGTTGTAGCACGGATGAGTCGGCTCGACCGCGCTCTTACAGAATATATAAAGAATATAAGAACAAAATATAAGAACCACTGGGAGTGCCTCGTATCCAGTAAAAAGGGTATCCTTTTTTACTGGATGCGAGGCACTCCCAGTGGCGTAGCTATGTAACCAAGGGCCCCGGGGCAACAATGAAATTGGGGCCCTATTTAAACTAAACTAAATACTTTAAAGGTGCAAAACTACTTCATCATCAGCTCCCTGTCACCCACTGCAGGGCATAATAAAGCAAAGCTACTTACTAGTACGTATTATGTGTAACGCATAAATAATGACGAAGTGGATTACAGGTAATAATATAAGCAGACAACATAACAGAGGAAAAGTCACACGGCAGCTTTTGCTGTTGCACGGGTGGGCCAGACTAGATAGAGTGACAACCTGGTAATGAATGACTGTAATGAATGGGTGGACCAGCTCGAACCGTGGAGGAGTCACGACCTTACAGTTAACCAGCGTGAAGTAGAAGTTTACTTCGCCTGATAAGAGCAGGTGAGGGTACCAGCACCTCTGGTATTAGAGAATCCCTGGCTGAGCTTCCCCACTCAAGCTACCCTACTCTTCCTTAGCGCGGATGCTTAGGCCGCCTCGCGTATTCTGGGGAGTGGCGAGGGGGGGAAGGGGCGAAATTCCGCTCAAAACTAATACTGCTCGTGGCAAGTAGAGCAATAAGACAAAGGTGACCTCTGTCACGCTATCCGTCAATTTCTACGACATCACGGATTTCATTCGAACTTTAACGAAGTCCACTAGGTACCATCTGAAGACGGCGCAGCCGACCTTGCTCTTTCCAACCGAGACGCAGGTGTCCTCTCTGGTCGACACTTCTCTCCTATCCGGGGAACCTTTGTGCCTGGGGCTGGAGTTTGCGTATACGTCAGAGAGGATATCTGTTCTCGACGCCTCTGCAGTCTTGAAGGTCAGCGACGACCATCCTTACGTCTACGGGTGACTCTATATGTAATGCCGATACAGACCAACTCATCGACCACCATCGCTGCAGACTCCGTGCTACAACAGGACCCATATGCAGAGATCGTGATCCTTGGTGATTTTAACGGCCACCACGCTGAATGGCTTGGCCCTTGTTTAACCGATCATGCGAAAAGATTTGTTTATGACTTTGCCTTGGCATATGGTCCGACACAAATGGTTAGTTCGCCTACGCGGATTCTAAATGTGGAGCATCGTGAAACTTCCCTGTTGGACCTTCTGTTGACCTCACATCCGGACGAATATCAGGTTTCCGTCGACGACCGTCTTGACTCATTGGACCATTGTCTTATCCGGACTATGGTCTCACTCACACTCCCATCGCTGTTGCGTTTTGCAGATCGCCGCCGTGTTTGGCACTATAGGTCGGCCGATTGGGACAGGATGCGGTCTTTTTTTGCATCCTTCGCTTCAAGACAGTGGCAGGTATGCTTCTAGTAGGATGATCCCAACGTGATTCTGTCGCTTATGAGGTACTTCAGGGAATGGAACTCTTTATTCTATCATTTGCGGTGCCTAGTTTGGTCACTCCTCGCTAGTTTGGTCCTCCTCGTTATAACAGGAGTGCTTCACCAGCGCTGTTAAAAAGATGTATTATTTCGCCTTCAGGTCGGTACGATACGATTTACACGGCGCTCGGTGCGCATAGCACTACTCTCCCTAGACGTCAAGTCGAGTGGACCTGATGGAGTTCCTCCCATTGTGCTGAAGATGTGTGCTTCCTAGTTGGCACCGATCGTAACGTGTCTTTTCTAAAACTCTTTCTCCCTAAGCGTAGTCCCGAACTAAAAAGAAGACAGCTTTACTGCACCAGGTCCCTAAAAAATAACCAAAAAGTGCTTGACCGTGACCGCTTAGACCTATCCTGTATATTATCCTATCATTATTTTGGAGAACAAGTTGTTCTCCAAAATAATGAAAACCATTGTGAACTGCCAGCTCGTGAGGTTGAGGATCACCACTTGAAAAATGACCGCCAGTACGATTTCCGTCAGGGTTGCTCAGTTGGTTATCTTCTGGCTTACTTGACTGATAAATCGGCGGAGGCAGAGAAGGAGACCCTGGCCGTTAGTTTGTACATAGCGAAGGCCTTCGATCGGGTTTGGCACAAAACGCTTCTTTCGAAGCTCCTTTCCTATGGGCTTCCCGAGTATTTGTGCAACTGGATCAGCAGTTTTCTTGCAGATTGGAGCAACAAAGTCGTAGTAGAAGGTGCATGCTCCATTTATGCTGGTGTTACACAAGGTTACGTGCTATTACCTACACTGTTTCTTCTGCATATCAATAATTTGTTGCAAGCCAGTAATGTGCACAAAGACGAGACGAAGAGATGTTACATCCCTTTGCATTTTCTATCGCATTTACCACAAGGAGTGTTCAGAGGAATGGTTCGGATTAATTCCAGCCACAAAATATCATCAACACATTTCACAAATCCACATCACCGGGATGTTTGGCGGTCCACTACTGTCTGATTTACTAGGAGTTTTCTTCATTGCACGACTTCTTTGTGGAATCGTTTACCACCGGTGATTTTCCCGAACCGATACGACTTAGGGACCATCAATAAACGAGCTTACTCCTTTTTAAAAAGTCGGGAACGCGCCTACAATTCCCCTGGTGTTGTATTTGTTAATACCTAAGCGGTGGTCGACACTTGCTATCAGGTGAGCCGCATGCTCGTTTGTCTCTCTCTTCTATATAAAAAGGACAATAAAACATTGACAATTATCTTTAACAATGTTATATTTATTTTCGGGAAGTGGGAGTATTTTTTGTGATTTCAGTTCGAACCGTTCGCGGTCGAAAATTTTCGAACGTCGTCCTTGGAGGCCGAGGGGTCCATTAGCTTGGCGGCCCCGGTGCACAGCCCCGCCTAGCCCCTGGGTAGCTACGCCACTGGGCACTCCATCTTAGTCCTCAGAGGTGACAACGTATCTGAATTTTGATTTTTAATGTAGGATAAATTAAATGTCTATGGGCCACAGAAATTACTTACCATCAGGTGGGCAGTATGCTCGTTTGTCTCCCATATTCTATAAAAAGAGACTATTCTGACCATCAATCTGCAAACAGAGAAGACTTGAGTTTCTTCTGCAGTAAGATTTGATATAATCGTCATGCTTGGCAGAAGGATTAGCGATTGCAGTGCCAGAGACGTCTCGCTTGTTAGATGTCGCTTCCCGCTGACTACCCATTTTACGTGGAGCGTAAACAAAACAACCTCTTGGCCGGATCTAAAATATAGCAGGAAAATTACGATAATCTTTACAGTGCTAATGACCAGCTATACACTTTTTTACAATTATACAAGATTATTTTTAGATTTATTTCTGTAATAATGATAATATTTTATAAGATCGTATGATATCATATCGCCACCTATCAAAAGTTAGGTACTAGATTTTCCTATCAGTTCCTTTTTTATATTACTGCCGGCAGTATACATAGGCAGACTTTGTTGTGCCTTTTCCGACGGCTCATTGTCATTTAAAAAGTCTTTAAATTCGCAATAAAAAATATTGAGGGTCACTTATCGGGATACAAACTACACCTATTATCTCTCAAGTTGGAGCAAGGAATACACATTTACAAAATTTAATTAAAATCGGTTGAATGGTTTCAGGACAAACAATGTGACACGTAATTTTGATTGTGATGTTATTAATACACTGACAATAATTAGACTTTTAAAAATATTTTGTAGCTAGGAATTTATTGATTTTCGTACCTAGAAAAAAGCAGAACAATAATTAGACTTTTAAAAATAATTTATAGCGAGGAATTTATTACTTTTCGTACATACATAGAAAAAAAAATGTAGAATTAAGTTACTTTTAGAATAAGAGATACAATCAAATGATATACTTCCCATTCCCAGAAATTTATTATATTAAAGATGAGAGTGTTTATTAGCTAAGATCAAAAATGCAATTGTGTGTATTAAGTATCTAGTTTTTTGTTTAAAAATTTACCATTCCATTGATAGTGAGTACAGCCCATGGACACCTGACCTTTAAATAAAGAAGGCCACAGATACGTTATCACCTCAGCGCACTAAGATAGAATGCCTCACAACCTGCAATTATAATGTCTGAGAAAAAGTTAAGTAAATAGTTAACTTCTGAGAGGATTTTAGGGCAAGGAACCTACGCCTACTTACGCCGAGATGCTCCAATGCGTGTTGGCGAACTTCACATGTCTTCGAAATATTTTTTATTCTTATTTCCCAGACATGCAGGTTTCCTCACAATATTTTTCTTCACCGCCGAGCACGTGGTAAATCAGCACTTAAAATTTCAATTAACAATTTTACTGGTGCCCGCGGGGATTGAATCCAGGTTGCTCGCGTGCTGTGAAATTTACAGCGAGCGCTTAGTCTCTGAGCTACCACGGCTCTGATTAGGTATGTTTTATTGCATATTACTTTTTAGTCGTTTCTGATTTTGAATCTGAGGTTGGAGACCACCAAGAAAGAGAAGGGGTAGTTATATTATAGTGAAGATATTCGAAATTATGAAGAGCCTGACGATTCAAACAACAAGGAGTAACTGAATTCCGAAATTCAAGCATGTTCCTCGGACTGCGAAGATCTCAATATGATAAATTTTAGAATCTTTACAGTCAAGTTATTAGTAAAAGAACAAGTACAAGTGGTTTTAAAATCCACCAGCACCTTTATATACTCGTCAATTAATACTGTATGTATTTTTTGTAAAATATTAATTTTAGAGGCTATCAAATTTGTTTTTTCTGAAAATTAGTTTATACAGAACAGAAAAAAATATTTATTTTTGTTAAAACCACTCAAAAGGGTAAGTAGGTTTTTAACGACAGAATAATTGTATGTTGTATTGTAAGTAACACGTTTGTGTTCTCATGTAGTAATTAAGTAAGAAGAATTATATGAATAAAAACTAGTTAATTATGTAAAAGAGTTTGTTATTTTTTAATTCTGAACATATATCCTTTGACATTGTTGAAACTTGCTTGCTAGAAGTAAACTAGAACGTACGTATCCATTTGTTGCGTTTACAGTAACAGTCAAGACTTCATGTCGCTACCCCACGATATTCTCCTGTATCGTGGAGGCGTTTTAAATACATAAATGGACAACAAATACATGGACAAACATACAGACCCGGAACAATTATTTGTAGGCCATACAAACACTTGTTTCGTGTGGGATTCGATTGGCGGCCCCGTTGCGCCGTAGCCAAATGTATGGCTCAGAGTAAGGTTACCAACACCAATCAATCAGCAAAGCATGGATTTTTTACGATTTAGGCACCTTCGAGGAAAGAGAGAGCCCACTCTTTTTTAAAAGACCGGCGACACACCTACAATTTATCTGTTAATGCAGTTGTTCATAGGCGGCGGAAGTTACTTACCATTCTATGAGCCAGAGTGCTTGTTTGTACCTACCCTCTTCTAAAAAAAACATGGTGATTGCGGTCGACCTACTGTGCTTAAATCGATGACTATAGGAAAAAATTTAATACTTTTCATCCGAAAAATCTTCATTATGTAGAGGTTGGGTACTGAATCTAGGATTCCGGTTTCGAATCACAGTCAGAGTCAACATTTCTGATACAACGCAAGTTGACGTGTTCCAGTTCTGGTTGTGGTGTAAGTACCTAGTTATTGTTACCGCTGCCTCTAGCACTTTGCCCAAGCCTAATGCTTACTAAGCTAACCTTATAGCGTTTTTATAGAGGAGAGATTTTTAAAGAATTGCAGGTGCGTTGCGCACGTTTAGGGAAGGTGTAAACTCTTTTATTAAATGTCCAGGTAGTATCAGTCCAGAAAACTGCTGGCTACTGTATCTTCTACAATTTTGTCGTGCCTAATGGAAAATGTGGAGCAGGTGTCTTTGAATTAGCATTGAAACTCATACCAAGTGGTAGGATACCACCGTCTTGATTATTTCTTCCGCGAAGATGGACTACACTACTGTAAATAACAGCCTAGATTTTAAAAGTGTTATTAATGTTGAATGCTTTTAATACGATCTATGTAGTTATTTAAGTTTTAGTCACGTAAGTTTACAATTGTGCGTAAGCTTATTAATGTTTTTATTGCCGTATAAAGAGTTGTTGTATGTCTTTATAGTGTTTGTCAAATACATAATTATTGTTTGTATACCTATGAAAAGTTGTTATGTGTTTTATAATGTTTGTTACATACTTATTAGTAATTGTTTCTAAAGAATTGTTGTATGTAAATGTATAATTGTGAAATAAATTATGAGTCACACTCCACACACACCCGCACACTTCCCCCTGTCCGCTCATTGGTCAAATGGAGCATGTTGCACGAGTTGTGCAACTAACCGAACGAAATAAAAGACATGCTGTGAGCCACCCCTGATTCGACCCCTCACACATTCAGGAAGTGGAAGATGAGGTCCGCCGCCGGAACTCACCCCCCACATCCTCTGACCCTAGCACTGTGTCCAATGATGAGATCTCATCCATCATCAAAGGACTTAAGCCCAAAAAGTCTCCGGGCGCGGATGGCATATCCAACCAAGCCCTTAAAAACTTTCCAGAGCAGGTGTTAACCCTCTTATCTATTATCTTTAACGCCTGTTTCAATCTTAGTTATTTTCCTACTACTTGGAAAGAGGCAATTGTCATTGGTATTCCCAAGTCAGGCAAGCCTCTTAACCTCCCCTCCAGTCATCGTCCCATTAGCCTCCTAAAGGCCATGGGCAAACTCTTTGAAAGAGTCATTCAAAATCGAATGAGGCGCCATCTGTTTCCAACAGACGGTGACCCCCTTGTCATCCCACACCAATTTGGTTTCCGTGCGAAACACTCGTGTCCACAACAAGTAAACCGCATTGTGGAATATGTCCTCAGCGGTTTTTATCCACGTCGACTAAAGACAATCGCGGTCTTTTTCGACATTGCCAAAGCCTTCGACCGCGTCTGGCACGAAGGCCTTATTTTCAAATTATATAGGATTGGACTCTCCGATCGTCTAGTACGTCTCGTAGCCTTCAACATCGTAGCTTTCGGTTTAGACACGAAGGCACGTTATCCTCTCAGCGCCCCATTAAAGCTGGTGTTCCTCAGGGATCAGTACTAGCTCCCCTCCTGTACATCTTGTACACCAACGACATTCCAATCCCGTCGAATGGTGTACAGCTCTCACTCTTCGCAGATGACACTGCTCTTTACTTCAAAAGTCCTAGAATATCTTCAGCAAGGAACAAGATCCAAAAGTCAGTCGATGACCTAGGAGATTGGTTCCAAAAATGGCGTATCGATGTGAACCCGGAGAAGAGCTCCGCAGTTCAATTCGATATTAAAAGACGCCGTAATAAAAACAAGAAAAATACTCCACCTATACGAATGCTAGGGACCCCTGTCCCATGGCATATGTCAGCAAAATATTTAGGCGTCACCCTTGACTACAGGCTTACTTTTGAGTCTCATGTCAAAAGAGTAACACGTCTAGCTCGTTTATACCTAGGTAGGCTTAACAGTATGTTAGGCCGACATAGTAAAATGTCACTAAGAAATAAGCGAACCCTTTATAAGGTTTGTATACGTCCCGTAATGACTTACGCGGCCCCAGTATTCGCACACGTCGATAATAAAATTATTAACGAACTACAAGTAGTTCAAAACTTATTCTGTCGTCGAGCTACGAACGCACCTTGGTACGTCCGTAATGCCGATCTTCACCGGGATTTAGAAATCCCAACAATTCAGCAATTTACTAAAACTCACTCTGAAAACTTTTTTAAAGTTTCAGAGTCGCACAATAACTCATTAATTCGTGAGGCAGTAACTTATACCGCCCCACTCCCCTCCCGCTATACCGTCCGCAGGCCGAGAAACACTCTCTCGGACCAGCCAAATAAACTTTCAAGCGACCTGAACTGCCTTCTGGCGGCTCAGGCCAATACTAATTAAAGTAAAAATTATTTAAAATCAATATGCCTTCGTAGTCAGTCCCTAAACGGCACTTAGCCGTCTGCGCCCTCTTTTCCCAAAAGAGGGTCGCTTTAGATACGGCATGTGAAGCTTTCAACAGCTGGTTGCCAGTCCCCAAAGGCAGTTTTTAGAGGGTATCACTTAGGTTCCCCTTGTAGGTAGTGAGTCCCTCATAACCACGATGGACCGGCCATCGTGGTATGCGTAATGCATTTTCTGCCTCCCTTCGGGGTAGCCCATTTCCAATTGCTTCGGGCGCAAAAAATAAAAAAATAAAAACGACCCCTGATTATTACCAGCTCATTACTCGTTACTCGCTCATCGTTCGCTCTGCAGCCAGCTCAACAGATATCTCCACACTGCCTCAACAAGCTACACTCTACAAAGCCGCCCTTGTTTTCATATAAACAATAGTTTTATTTAACTTCATATATCACCTATGGTTAAGAAGAAGTCTACGTATGAACGATACGGAGACCTGCATAAAGCTCCCACTTCGTTTAACTACTGTACTGGTTAGAAGGAAGGGTAGGTAAGAAAGGAAAACCAGTATAATTAGAAGCTGTAGGAGTATTTCATGATATTAATCAAAAATTATGCATTTGTGGTGTTTTTTTGTTTGTAATCGGTCGCAGCCGCAGATCTTGACGGTTCCGTGGCATAGTGGCTTAGTATTGAGTTGCGGCGCGGCGCTGAGGACTGCGGGTAATCCCGCACGGTACAAGTATTTGTATGGCCTACAAATAATTGTAATTGATTCGGGTCTGGATGTTTGTCATCGTGCAATTATGTATGTAAACTACTTCCACGATACAGGAGAAATCCTAGTATGAGGGCAACGTTAAAAAAAAAAGAAACAAGTGGTATAATTAAAAATGTTGTACAACCGACTTCAATATAAATTATTAAGGATAACTCAAAAACTATTGGTCAGACCTTGAACAAATTTATATGGGACCACATGAGAAGCACCAGCTTTCAAATAAAAAAGAATCATCGAAATCTGTTCACGTAGAGAAATTTATGAGGTAGGAACGCACAAAAAAAATCGTACAGTCGAATTGAGTACCTCCTTCTTTTTCAAGTCGGTAGAAAAGAAGAAAAGATCTCAATGTATTGCAGTTGTGATTATCGATCATTGACATATAAAAAAAAATAACCCGAGCGTTGTCGCTGTGATAATTCGGCAAAGGGAACATCATCATGCTGCCGATTCATTGCCATTCTTACCTTCTAAACATGTCTTCAGTTACAATGTCATGTGGAGTTCTACTCTTCTCCTTATCACATTGATCTTGAATTTTGCTTAAGTCCTCTTGAAAATTATGAGTTTTACCTTCTAAAGCCTGAAATCAAACATTAAAGGTAAGGTATCATCAATTAACAATCAAGCAAGATCAAGTTCATGGGTGGCGGTAGTCACTTACCATCAGGTGAGCCGCATGCTCGTTTGCCCACTCTCCTATTAATAAAAAAAAGATAAAAGCCAATCTTCTAAAATTAGAGCTCTTTATACAAGTGGCCACCCGTCTAAAATTTTAACAAGTTTGTCATTTAATTTCTTTATCATAAAATCGTAAAAAAAAATGTAAATTATATGAATTAAAAAAAATACAAATACATTTTTAAAGGTGAAAAACGAGCATCACCTGATGGTAAGTATATGCTGGCTCCTACATACACTTACATCTATCCTTGATTAAGAATCAAAACGCAGATGCGTTTTAATCCCTGAGGACTAAGAACGAATTCCGTGTTATCATTATCAGTTAAAGAGGTTACCGTGTACTGGGTGTAGTGGCGGTTACCGTATAGTGGCGGTGTAAGAATATCCACTACACCATATCATCCCGTGGGTGTAATATTCCTCTACAAGATGCAGGAGTGTACAAGCTTGATTGTGAATGTGGTCTCTCATATATAGGGCAAACAAAACGATCAATAAAAACGCGCGTAAAAGAACACATAGCTGACGTGAAGCACCAACGTTCCGGGAAGTCTGCAGTTTGTGATCATATCCTAGACGGCCCCCGCCATTACATTAGATTTAATAAACCACAAATTCTAGCGAAAGAACATCGATTCCTGCCAAGGATGATACGTGAGGCTATTGAAATTAAAAAACAGCCTAATTTCAATAGAGAGGGTGGCTGGGTACTACCACCTGCTTAGGATCCTGTAATTAATAAAATTAAAACTAAACCCAAGCATACCACTGCAAGACTTCAAGATACAGTAAGTTCATTCTGCGTAGATCGGACCAAAATTAATAATTAAAAAAGCTGAAGGTACTCCGGGTTAACTCTGAATTCGGGACGTCAATCACCTCAGTCCTCCGTGACCATGGGTGCTGGAAAGCACCCCAAACGTCGGGAATTAATAAAACTGAGAAAAATAAGTTTATTAAACGCGATAAAATCCGTAAAAGTAGTTTTATTCAACGCATCAATGCAACAAACATGGCTTTCTTTTCATATGTGCTACGGCAGCCACTTACTAGGTGAACTGTTGGTCCGTTTGTCACTCTAATATCACAAAAATAACGACGGTACCTAGATATAGATACAAATTTCTTAAGGTAACAGCCACTACCAACCACACTTGATCGAATAGGGGTTTTTTAATATTGTCAAACTAGACACAGCGACGGCAACCAATTCGATCCATTAAGGAAAATTCTCCCTACAAATACAAAGACAGAGGCCGATGTCAATCAGTGGACTTACACGGGTCAGTAAAAAAGAAGAATCATTCCAATTATAGACACCATTGCACTTGTAACAGAGTACACTATTAGAGTAATAAAAACGGTTCTCACCCAAGCATCTTTAGCACGCTTGACATACTCTTTGGCGTCGGTATCGGCGGGATGGTTGCAGAGAACGGAGCACGCGTGTGAGAACGGGTTGTAGAGACCGGCGTATGGTCGCAAAATGAATGGAGCCGGTGTCACCTCGCATCGCAGTTCAATAATGCTCTGAAATGTAGCAGAAGTTTACGGTAATCCGCAAGTCCACCCTTTAAAATTGAACATTGAGCGTTGCTAAAGTGGACTAAGGGATATCCAAGGAAAATACCTATGGCGTTCGATAGATCGTGAAGAACCCATCCCACAAAATGAAAATTAAATTAATAAAGATATTAACTTTTGACATAGTTAATAATAAGTTGTATTTTAGCTTTGTAATATTATACGTTTTTAATGACTATAATTAAGACCTGGCTCGCCTTGAATTTCAAAGAATATCGATTCCTGCCAGCACCAATGAAATTATTAATTGCAGTTCACACGTGTTCTGCGCTAACAGAAAACGTAAGGAAACCTACATGTCTGATATATTAAAAATATTTTGAAGACAAGTAAAGTTAAATATTATTTCGGGAACACTGAGGCAGCGTGGCGGACTTTTCTCTGTTCTAAAACTTCAGAAATTAAGTGGCCTGTGCTTCGCAATGAGACATTATGTGTAGGCTGTTACTTTACTATTTTTACTTCATAAGAATAATTAACAATAATATTTGCATTCAAAAAAACTGCTGTCGGTCAGTCCATATGAAATTAGTAATCATTGCATGACGTGATGAATTGTATAGGCAATAAATCACCAACCTTTTGCTTCGAGTGTATTTGTTTTTGCGGTGCGCTCGATAATAAACCGGTGTTACTTGTCAGCCCCATTTCTCCGTGTCCTTTCTCTCGTCAACTTTTTCTGTACAAAGCTTTAACGCGACAGCCTTATTTGCTGTATCGATTAATCAATCACTTGGAAACAAATTAGCAGACAAATTAGTTCAATTGTAAACAAGTTGTGTAAAATTATAGAAAATGTAACAGACAATTCACAATTGACGTAAAATAAAAGTTTTTATTAATACTTTTCTGTAAATAAAACCTATCGATAAATCAATAATATTAATTTGCAAAATAGAGGTTAAATCATGTTTATCTATACATATAATAATCTATACATATAATAAAAATGTAAAAAGCAGACGTCTGTACATTTTATATTTTTGTAATAAAAGTGATTGAGAGGTACTAAAAATAAGTAACTAAATACATTTCTACCATTTTTAGAATTTTCTGTCTGTCTGTCTGTCTGTCTGTCTGTCTGTTTGTTTGTTAACGTATCACGTATAAAGTACTAATTTATATCATAAGAATCATTAAGGAAAATATAAAGTGTATCTTCGGGTTACATTTAGTCTTTATTTTATTAAAATCAGTTCATTCAATCAAAAGTTATGATAAATATTCTGAAGTATGAATACGAAGTATAGGTACGAATTTGTTCAACGGTGGCGTTGGTTGAGTCATCGTGCGCATTTTAAACTAATACTACTTATATCATAAATCATAATTAAATTAGGTAAAATAATGTTCTTTAATGATATAATTATATCTAAAACGCAGTAAACAAAAGTATTAAAGAACGTATTAAATAAAATAATATACAAAAATATATTATAACCTTATTAACTAAATCTAAAGTGAAATAGTTAACCAATTTCATCGATAGATGGCGGTATGGTCAAAATGTAATATAATAAGGCGTTTTGCTTACTATGCAGACATTGGTTTGTAAGTTCTTTTATGTTTTATATATATAATAATGTACCAATCGCGTCAATTAATCTCTTTTATTTTTAGAATTGATACTATAATAAAAATGGTGATAACATGTTGTGTCTGTTTTCGTACATTGTATAGAATATTTGTCACTAAAATCATTATAGGGTAATGAAAATAATTAAGTAAACACATTTTTATAATTTTTAGAATTTTCTGTCTATCTGTCTGTTTGTTTATAAACGCATCACATCTAAAGTAAACATTTTTTTAAAAGAAATCGTTAAGAAAATCATAAAGCCTATCTTTAAGTTACATTTAATTTTTGTTTTATTAAATTTGGTTAATTCTATCGAAAGTTATGATTATTAATTTAAAATGTAGGTTCTAATTTGTTCAATGGCGCCATAAACTCTCAGAAAAAGTAATAAAAAGATTTGTGTGTAAAAAACGTTCTATAATAATATATTTATACTTAAAACAAAGTAAACAATAAAAAATATGTTTTCCTTAAATTAAAAAAAGTTTTCTCACAACGAACGTAATAGATGGCACTGTACAAATTACATTCTTTTCTGAATTGTGGCGTTAAGATACTCCGAATCGTATTGAGACTCACTGACGTGCAGTCACAGTCTCACAAATAACCATACATGACCCAGAACCAATGTAGATATTATATATTTTCAATTTCATTTTCAACTTAATAAATTAAATAAAATAGTCAATTTATTTTGTATCAGACAGATTATAATGAACATACTAATATCCGAAATCACAACTTCCCACAACTCAACAGCAAACTCATATCCCAACTTCAAAGGATGCTACATGAAATAAATCCATACGTTCATAGTTTTAGGGTTGCATTGCAATCGATCCGTCAAGATTTAATAAACAATAATAAAATAGTTATTAACGCTGACAGACGTCCTGTTACTTAAAAAAAAAAGTTACTGAACACCGCGGTAGCAACGTTCCTGTCACTGATGAAGTGGCAGTGGTATTAATTGACCAGGAGTGCGATAGACGTGACATCGTGTTGCACACACATGACGATCGACTGCCAGGGATTTTTGAAACGCATCGATATTATGATGCTCTACAATATCCATTAATATATTGTCACGGTGAAAATGGGTACAATTTCGGAATTTATCAAGTTAATCCTAATACCAGAGAGACCAATTTTAATAAAAAAATATTTGCTCTGCAATTTTATTCGCACCTGTTACATGTAAGGCATATATCTTCCTGCGTATCTGCAAAGATTTCGGGAGTTGTTTTACCAATTTATAGTGGACATGTATGCGAAAATAAAGACAGAGCGCTTAGTGTATATACGCACTAACCAGAGACGTCTGTTACACTGACGTCTAATAAGTGATATTGATACAGTAATGATATAAATCGTTTAATATTTTCTTACCTGAATGTCAAATTCTCCAAGTAAAACCTATATACGCGAGCTACGCCGCGGGCACAGCTAGTATGTAATATGTACGAACTTTTCATTACCGTTCCAGCCTATTAAAGTCCACTACTGAACATAGGCCTACCCTATAGATAGCCTCATAGGGGGGATATCTTCCATAGTTGCCACGCTTAGTAAGCGGGTTGGCAACCGTAGTTTTTATTTTTTATTTTTAGTCGTTATTAGGTAGACGCTGCTGCCCATCTGATTTGTTTCCCTCTGTCGCCTCTTACAACGCCCACGGGATGATATTCTTACACTGTCACTTAATTAATCTCTTTTTTTTTATAGAATAAGGGTGACAAACGAGCACACTGACCACCTGATGGAAAGTAGATCTCTCTTAATTCATTATGAAACTTATATCAGGTAGAGAAACTATAGGGTAACTAAACTCTGAGCGTAACCCTAGTCTCCACAACTCACCTAGCAACTTAAACCTTTCATATACCAGCAGTGAAGGACCACGTCATCAAGTTTGACTACGAGACCTAAAGAAATGTTATATTTTATTATTACGAACAACCGCCGCCTAGTGGCAGCTTAAAACAATCAAACACCCCACATCTTGCTGTGAGTGTTGTGAGAGGCGACAGAGGGAAAGAAAGGCAGTAGCATCTTCCTAATAACAATAAATTTAAAATTATAAATTTTGTACAACCGACTTCAATATAATTTATTAAGAATAATTCAAAAACTATTGGTCAGACTTTGATAAAATTTATATGGGATCACGTGAAATGCACCAGCTTTCAAATAAAAAAAGAATCGTCGAAATCGGTTTACCCAGAAAAAAGTTATGAAGTAACAAACATAAAAAACATACAGTCGAATTGAGTACCTCCTACTTTTTGAAGTCGGTAGAAAACTGCGGTTGACTACCCACCGACCAAGCTTGACAATTATGGCGAAGATCTATGTGGGGAGAGGAGTATTATACAGGGTTATTTTGTAATAACCGACCAAATTTGCAGAGAAGGTTAAGATTAAGTAATATAAGCAATTGTTGAATAAAAATTCAAAATCAAAAATTTTGTACAATTTAATTCAATATAAGTTTTTTTCTTATAGGATAAGGGTGACAAACGAGCACACAGTCCACCTGATGGTAAGTGGTTGCTGCGGCCCATAGACATCTACATCTATCCTCTGTTACAAATCAAAATGCAGATGCGTTGCCACCCGTGAGGACTAAGATGGAATGCCTCATTTCCAGTAAAAAGGGCCTCCGGCCACCCGCACTCACCAAACGAAACACAGAGGTAAACCTATACTTCACGCTGGTTTTCTGTGAGGTCGTGGTACCACCCCGGTTCGAGCCGGCCCATCCGTGCGACAGCAAAAGCTGCCGCGTGGCTCTACCACTGTTAAAGTTATTAAGAATAACTCAAATAACTCAAAAACTATTGGTCTGACCTTCATCAAATTACCATCATATGGGACCACACGAGAAGTATCAGCTTTCATATAAAAAAAGAATCGTGGAAATCGGTCCACCCAGTAAAAAGTTATGAGGTAACACACATAAAAAAAAACATACGTGTCAAATTGAGTACCGTCTCCTTTTTGGAAGTCGGCAGAAAAATTCAAACATTCTGTCCTTTTTAATAAAAAGGACCGAATGTTTAAGTTTCTTTTTTATACTTAAAAAGTTTTTATCTTTTAAATTCTAAATGTGTGGTAATACATATTTTAACTGATTTTCTGACGCACACATTCGTAAGGGTCCATCGGTAGGAAAAAACCCAAATCAAATTCAATTTGGGATAATCTATACAAATAAATAAAATTGGAGTGTCTGTTTGTAATGTTAAAATAATAGCTTTTTACTAAACGAATATGAATTATATCTACACAAATAAATAAAATTGAAGTGTCTGTTTGTAATGTCAAAATTACAGTTTTTTACTAAATGCATATGAAAGTAAATACGGTACTTATAACTAAAATAATTTTTTTTTAATTTTTGTCTGTCTGTCTGTTTGTTCCGGCTAATCTCCGAAACGGCTGGACTGATTTTAACAGGACTTTCACTCGCAGATAGCTGATATTATAAGGAGTAACGTAGGATACTTTTATTTCAGAAAAAGAATTAGGGTTCCGCGTAAAAAAATTAAAACCCGTGGAATCGTCGCAAATTCCACGCCTGCGAAGTCGCGAAGGACAGCTAGTTTCAAATAAAAGTGGAAGCCTTATTTACTCGCATTTTCAAAAACTGCAATAACGGTATATCAATTATTTATATATTTGAACTTAAGTTTAAAATTTGGATACTCTGAAAAATAACCCTGTATAGATTTCTATAAGAAAGGCAGTGGTTTTTGGTTAGTTCAGCAGTGGGCTTTCGATGGGCTGTAGGGTAATGAATGAATGAAATAAAAAATTGTGTACGTTCTCTTCCTTTATTTCTTTGTTGTTCATAACGTGGTAGAGCCATTCTGCAGCTATATTATGGTTGTAGCACGAATAGGTAGGCTCAACCGGGGATTGACCACGTTCACACAGAGTACCAGCGTAAAACAGCAACTTTATGGTGCTGTTTCGTATGGTGAGTTTATAGAAACGGAGACCCCGTTTATGGGAAACGAGGCATTCTATCTTAGTCCTTAGAGGTAACAACGCATCTACATTTTGATTTTTAATCAAGGATAGATGTAGACATCTTTGGGCCACAGCATTCATTTAGCATCAGGTGTACTGTGTGATCGTTTATCACCCTTATTCTAAATAAAAAATGTTTATTAGTAAACAGCTCATAAAAATCCTTTGCCAGACACGAACCTCTCCCGTTAGGAAGGATTTGCTCACGCTGGATTGACGGGTTGATGAGAGCAGAGCCGAAACCTAATGCTACCTTCCATTCCAGTTTGTGGAATGTAGGATACGCCGCCATTTTATCGATTAAAAGAACCTCATTTGTTATTTAGTAGACGAGGCGTTTAAAGTTTTTCTTTTTTACATTTTTCTTAGGCTTACAGGCTCGACTGGCAGAAAATCCCACATTAGACACTATGTTCACCCAATAAATTATTTAAGGTGTTTACACTATTGAGAATTAATAAATACATAAATAAACACTTCCCTTTAAGATTTTTTATAATTACATAGAAACTCACTGAACAGTTACTTATACTTAAAATTTAGTTTTGCTTGCTGACGTATAAAAAAATAATATATAATTTGCTACTATTAACTTGCGTATTATGTGTTCTCAAGGATATAAGTACATATCTCGATGGCAGGATAGAGAAGAGTTCTCGAATGTGAGCCTCGACGACCGGTAAGCGGAGAGTAGGAAGGTCTCTTGTAGATGGAGTGACGACCGTGGCTCAGGATTGTATGGTATTCTTTGCAGAAGGCCTATGTACCTACAGCAATGGGCTTGTGCGGAGCTGTAATGTTAATGACGATCATGATTTTCTTTCACAAGTGAATAGATAGGTAGCTTTATGAAGTTGTTAAGCTAGGTTAGGTATTTTAATAGTTATTAGGCTTATGTTCAGCAGTGGATATTATAGGCTGTATTGGTAACGGTATTAATAAGCAAACGTTAATGACATAAGCAAAGCATGAGCTTTATTAAAATTACATTGGTAGAATAATAGCTAGAACAGCCATCTTTACGCAGTGAGCTTTTATTTTGCATTATTTTCGATGATGATAAACTGTCTCATGGGTTTCTTTGCTGAGCTTATTAATTGTCAAATAACTATCAAAAACTTATCTAAAAGATATCCAGAACACTACGTACAGTTCATGTGACACCGAAACCATTCTCAAATTATTGTAAAAACACGCTCACAGGCACACATAAGATCTTAAATACTAGGTACTTAGCACTAGGTGGTAGAGCTCCTCTTTTGCCTTAGTTATCAGATTAGGTAACACCCGCTGAAAGGTTGGTCAATCAATCAAGTCAATGGACTGCACCAGCCGTTTACCATCAGGTGGAGCCAAGTTCGTTTGTAACTTTATGTCTATACATGTACTCGTATAAAAATCATTTGCTGTCCGTTAGTCTCGCTAAAACTCAAAAACGGTTCGACCGTTTAGATGTTTTGTATTCACATTTCGACCCGGTAGGTGGCGCTGTTGTCGAAATCCAGAAATCACCTGTGCGAAGACGTGGCGGATCGCTAGTTTTTAATTTAAAAAAAAAACTTCATGATTTCATCAATACAATCACATTATGCAACTAAAAGTTTCGGCATTCGGCGTCACTTAATATGTACTTACATGAAGTGTTCTGACTTACTTTTTTCCACTGAAGTCTGATTCGTAGTAGGTATAAAATTACTTTTAAAGAAATGTCAAAGTAGAACTAAAAGTCAAAAAAGAGTTTTTCACATATATTATTCAAAAAATTTACACAAAAGCACTAAGACATCCATTTAACCTTATTGTCTAAATAAATGAAGTTTTAAACCGACACGCAACCTCTTAATTAAAAGATATAATTTGTCTCTAAAAATAATACTCATTTCTCTTTTTATATCGGAAAGTAATTATGGCATTATGAACATAATACCTACCCAAGCGACATTGTGAAATATATTTATAATCTAGAATATTCTATAACGTTACTCTCCTTCAACTCTAACAGGATTCTATTTATTACAAGTGAAACTATAATACAGGTTAAAGTGCAATAGAAATATTTGAATGTGTACATTTTGTGAAAATTACAAAATATTATTTTACAAGACTGTATAATATATTTCATATTATTATCTTAGTACAGATGATAACAAAACAGGTCTCGATTTTATCTGTACAATAATTCATCACAATTCTAGCGCGCTCTCAATTTTTGTGTAAAATAGGTACTTAAAACAAAAAAAAATTAAGTATTAGCACTTATATCTTTCGATATTGGTGGTGTATTTTCAAATACTAAAACAATTAGAAAATAAATATGAAGCAACCAAATACCTTAGCGGATTAATAATTGCTTTCAGTATTTATTTTTCATATTAAAAAACTTGAATAGCATGATTAATGGTTAATCACATTAAAACTCCAAAGTGTAAATATACAGGGTTATTTTTCAAATATTAGCCAAAATTGAAAATTAAGTTTAAATATATAAATAATGATATATCGTTATTGCAGTTTTTGAAAATACGAGTAAATAAGGCTTCTACTTTTATTTGAAATTATCCCAAATTGAACGTGATTTATGGGCAACAACGTTTTTTCCTACCGATCGACCCTTACGAATGTGTGCGTGCGCAGTAAAACCAGTTAAAATAATGCATTACCATTTACCACGCATTTTAATTTAAAAGATGAAAAAGACAATGGTTGAGATTATATTTCAGTTAATTTTTCTTCTTTGCCTATAGCACTTATTCTGAACCTTCTCTGCAAATTTGGCCGGTTATTGCAAAATAACCCTGTATATTTGTTTTATCACACCCTGAAATCACACCTATTATTAATTGTTATATTGTTAGTAAAGAAAAATCTTAGAGTATACATTTGCCTAAGGAATGTATACTCTGTTTGGTAAAGTGATTTAGTTCCAAGTGTCCTTATAATTTCAAGTGGCAAAATTAATAGGTTCATATATTTAACAAGCATATTATATGCCAGTTGCATATAATGTAAAACGAATGATAATAGCAAAACTATAGCATTATAAATGTCATTATCTCATTTAATACTTAACTGATATCATGACTTGTCATTATTGCTTAAAAATTTACAATATTGCATTAACAAAGAATGTATATTTTAAGTATATGCAGAAATATATGTATGAAAAAGTAAAGTTAAAGCCTATATTCTTCCCACAGCTGGGCTGGGCACAGGCCATACCTTATTTCTGAGGGTTAATTTAATATATAAGTAAATGAAACACAAAAAGTAATCAGATTGCAACAAAGGTTAAACATATGAAAAGTAATCTTGCTATGAATCAAACACATAAAGGCAAGTTGTTTAGAAAGGCAAGTCACAGTACATACCCCATTCCTCAACTCTATATATTATATATTCATAATTATTTTGATGAATTTGAAACTAAGAGCAATTTTTCCTTAAATTGTTGCTTTAAATGAAATATTCAATGAATGTTGAACCAGCACCAAACTTATCTTGTAATATTATGAAAATACAGACAAATAATTTAGACTATGTCAAAACTGTGCGACTCACTCTCTCATCTTCCACACATAATCTTTTATTATGACTAGTAGTTAAGAAATAAATTTGAGCATGGAAAAGAAGCATACTACATACCATGCAGCTATAAAAATATTGTAAAACTTAAATAAATTATAAATATAAATTACAAGTAGTGTCACACATAAAAAAATCTCTGTTCCTTTTAAATATTCCTAGCACTAGATTGTGAACACTTTGAAATATATTACAAATGCTTCTAATAACTGGCTGAAAAACCGTCACTTCACATGTCTTACCATCACTCCACTAGCACTATGATGTCGTCTGTGCCCCGCATGGCGGGACACTACGGACGCGATGCACGCGCCGCTTCCTCGAGAGCTCTAACCTTCAGTTCGCGCTCTCGCTGCTGACGCAGGAAGTCTTCGTGGTGGGCTGGATGCAGAAAGCCTCGTTCCCGCTCCAGAAGAAGCTGCCTTTGAAGTTGCTCATGGGCTGCCGCTTGCTGCGCCAACTGCTCAGCGTACGGCCTGCCTAGCAGGTCTGGATGAGGCAGTGGCCGGTAGGGCGCACCGGCGCCAAGCCCAAGACCCAGGGCATCCTGCTGTGCCTGTGCCGCCGCCTGTTGGCCAGGATGGAGATGGAGGTGAGTATGTGAATGCGCGTGTGTGTGCGCATGAGTGTGCGCGTGGTATTCTGGGTTGATTCCAGCCATTTGTAGTCGCACCATTGGATCTGCAGCGAGTGCTAGCCTCTCCGCCGCTTCCAGTTGGGCAGCTGCAACCCCAGGATGTGGATGATGTGGATGGTGTGGCGGCGCCCCCGTCACGGGGACGTTGGGTGGCGGCCCACCTGCCGCTGACGGAGGGATGCCTAGTCGTTCGAGCCGCTCGCGTTCAAGTTGAGAAAGTGATGCAGGCCCGTGTCCAGGAGGATAAAGCCCAAACTGAACAGGAATAGCACCCTGTGGGGGAGGAGGTGGCATTCCATACCTCCTGTGCATTTCTAACCAGTGTGGGTCGAGAGCTCTGGGACCAACATTATTTTTCAGAAGTTCTTCTTTCAATCTATCATTAAGTTCACGCTCCCGCAGTTCTCGTATTTCTCTGTCGCGTTTCTCCCGTTCAAGGTGCTCTAACTCAAGCCGTTCCCTGGCCCCAGCAGCTCCATACATTGAACTAAGCTGGTACTGCAGCATCGGATCCATACAATGTCGAGGTAAATTTCCAGGACTGAATCCTGCATGTGGTCTTGCATATTCTGATAGTTGTCTTAGAGCAGGAGTGTCAGGATAGCCTGGCGGTCTAGGGAATCTATCATATGGAGATGTAATGGTTTCAATAGCACCTCTTGATGGCGGTTTAGTATCTGGTTTTTCAGGTGTTGCTATTTTTCTGTGAGCTTGTTGAGCAATTTTTTCTCTTTCCTCTCTATCTCTTTCAGCTTGCTTCCGTAATCGTTCTTCCCGTTTCCGTGCAAGTTTTGATTCTGGCACAGGTTTAAATATTAAATCTGTTCGTGTACATGAATTGTAATCGCCTCTGTTCCAATGTCTCAAAAATATGGCTGATTGTGATCTATGACATTCCGTATCTTCTATTTTTGGTTCAGGACTTGGTCCATGAGGTATATGTGCTGGGCTTGGAATTTCATCTTCTTCTGGTTGTGACTGTGTTTCAAGTTTCAGTTCAGGGTTTTCATCAGGCATTGGTCGCTGAGGGCCACGTAAATGGGGATGGCCATGAGGCATTTGATGAGGTGAGCCAGATCTTGCATGCGACGCTTGCAATCCCGCTGCGGCTTGGGCGTGCAACCGTAAAGTCTCAATTGAACTAGGCCCCGGTCCTGGTGGTAATCCTAAACCCATAGGATGGCCCATTGATGGTGGTTGAATCATAAGGTGATTTGGGTTTCCTGGCATCATTTTTGGGTGGTGACGTAACAGCATAGAATCTGCAGGCGATAATCTCTCCGGATGATGCGCAAGGTGATGTGAATGATGGTGAGTATGATTATTTGATACATTAACACTGGATGATGTACTAGTAGTCTGCGAGACACTGCCCGATAGATGATGGGGCGATCCAGAATGTGAATTAGATTTTTGCTGGGTATTTATTTTATGTTGAATAGACTGTGATGAACTGCTTGATGTTGAATGAGAAATAGATAAAGTATGATTTGTGGCCCCTCCTACATGATTCGGTTGTTTTTCAGTACTTGTATGCACAGCACTATGGTGACTGGTTGAATGGTGATGGGTCATTGTTGTTTCATGCAATTGATGCCTTTCTGTTGTTGCATTTGGATTTCTTGGGTCTTCAGAACTTTCAGAAATCTCTCTTAAAGACCTTGTAGTAACAGACGAACTGGTACTGTGATGAGCGCTTAGCATGGTTGTTGATTCTATTGTAGAGGGTTTTCCTGGATCATGCCTTCCTGGCGTACTTGAGGCGGGATGCATCGGCGGTATTGGGTGAGGTTGGGGCAATGGTCCATAAGGATATGGGTAAGGCATAGAATAACCAGGATGTGGATGCGGATAATATGGATGCATGGCGTGAGCAGCTGCTGCCGCTGACAATTGAAATATGGAGGATGGATGAAGTAGGGGATGATGGGGGTGGTGAAGAGGGGACGCAAATGGATGCGGTGGATGAGGCCCTGGCTGTTGACCTGAATGCATTACTGGGCCAGGTATTGTTGATGGTATAGATAATGGTGAAGGATTCATTAAATTTAGTGCTGAATGTGAGACAGGTGTATTTGGTTGAACTGGAGATGCAGATATATGTCTTGATTGTGATGGACTTGTTAAATGTCGAGAAAATGGTGATGTTGTTGCTGATGGATGTGGGCCATGACTGGGAGTACCATTGTGGGAGGGCAGGCTTTTTATGGGTGTAGGTGTATGAGGACTTTTCACTGGTGGCATTGCATTTGATGACTCCGACACATTCACTTGACTCGAAGATACAGGAGTATGAGGAATATGAGGTTGATGTATAAAATCTGGTTCCTTTTTAATACTTTCTATTCTTGGTCCAAGGAATGCACTTGCCATGCTTGTGTTTTCATTTGTTGGTTGACTTGGGGGTCTACTGCTGTTTTCAACACTGGATATTGATTCTCTATCTCTTTCTGAGCTTAAATGTTGAGCTATAGCACTTCCAATTGGATAACCTGGCACTTTTACTTCCTTTAGGGACTGCAGTGGGTCTGTTACATTCTGAGTGGATAGATTAGCTGGCATATTGTCGGGTATTTCTTGTTTTATCTTCAAGTCTTGTGGCAATGATGGATCACTTTGATTAGGTGGTGGAGGTATTAAATTATTTCCTTGAAGCCCATGACTTGGGGGTACTTGTTGCATTATTTGTGGCAAAGAGCTTGGCTTCTCTAAGCCTGGATGTCCTGGGTGACCATATAATGGCGTAGGCATAAATCCATAGGGACCCACATTAGAACCACTTCCCACTGATATTAATGGACCTGGAGGTAAGAGGCTAGTTATAGATGGTTGACTCAGGGGTGGTGGAGGCATACTCTGCCCTGATACAGGAATACTTGGAGCATCACTTGACCTTATGCCAAGATTTTCAGGCCTCACAGGTGTTGGGAACATGGGTGGTCTCAAACCACTATTTTGAGTATCTTGTTTTGCTTGTATTGGTTGAGTTTTTAAATCAGTTGGTTGTTTTTCTTCAACATCTGATTCATGTGACTTAATATCTTGAGTATTAGCGGGTGATATAGGCTCAGTACTTGTGGTAGTTGTATGTTCAAGATGAGATGGGGAAGGTCCTCTTGCATTTGTTGGAGATGGACTAATCCTTTGCAAGCTATCTAGCCTTGGTGTGTTAGGTGAGTCCACCTTATTTACTGTTGATATAGTTGCTGTAAAGATTTCAGGAGTATTTTGATTTTTCATATCACTAGTTTCATCTCTTGGCTCTAACTTAATAACAGTCTTCAATGGATTAATAAGAGGATTGTGTTTATTGGGATCACTGGGATAGTTCATGTTTGGAGGATACGAAAATGGTGGCATCCCACTTACAAAGTCTTTAGCATTTCTGATAATTGAATTTTCTTTTGAAATGTTCACAGGATTAAATATATTATTTGGCACTCCTTCCATCTTAATACTGTGGCTGAGTTTGGGATTATAAATATGACTGTCTTTAACAAAAAAGTTTGTGTTTTCTAAATTAAGAGGTTTGTTTGGTTGATTTAAAGGAAGTCCAGTAAAATTATGGGAAAGAGGATCCTTCTGAAACTCTTCTTTCTGTAAATTAAGTGTTTGTTCCTCGGTATCAAGTTCCTCTTTGATTTTTATTTTCTCTAAAACATCTGTAGACATGGGAGTAACTTTAGGTATAATAAGTTCAGTTTTAGGGAATATTGCAAGAGGTCTAGGTTCAACATTTTCTATACTCCTGGATCCACTAGACTCTGTTTTCAAATCAAGTACACTTCTATCATCTTTTTCTGTTACAACTTTAAACACAGGAGGCAAAGGCTCTTTGTCTATTTTATTTGTAAGCTCATTATTGGCATCTGACTTTACAGGTTCTACTGGTTTAGTAAGTTGTTCAGATTCCAGATCTTTATTTTGTTCAGGGTTTTCTTTTTCATTTTTATTGAAGCTAAAGTCACAAGCTTCTGGTTCTGGTTCAGTATTATCAGTTTCATCCATGGCCGAGAAACTGTCATTTGTCAGACTTTCTGATGGACTTTCAGGTGGATCACTAGCCTTTTTCTTTTTCATTTGTACATCACCATCCATAATTCCTTCTGGTTTTGTATCATCTGGTAGTCTCTTCTTAACCTTAGATACATCAACTTTACCATTTGCCACTTTCTTTTTATTATCTTTATTAGCAGGTGATGACAAAACTTTTTCAGCTACATTGTTATTTGTACTTTGTACATTAGATTGCTTATTGGGCTTTTTACACTTTGAATCATTATCGCTTTCATCTTGCCCTTTTCTTCCATTTGGTGTTGTTTGTTCTTTTGACTTATTTCTTGTACGCATTCTGCTTGGTGAATCTTCTGGATTATCACCGCTTCTACTAGTATCAACTTTTGCTAAGTCGCCGGCATCTCTTGAATCACTATCATCCTCTGAGTTTTCATCCTCTGTTACTGAACTCATTTCTCCAGCCTCTTTAGGATTAGGTGAGGGTCTTGAGCCATTTGTATCAGGCACAGCCGGAGTGGCTTCTGGTGTTTGTTCCTTAGGTGTTCCTGCTCTAGAGTTTCTAGTATTACGTACACGTCTCAATGATGCTTGTCTGCGCCTCCTATGAGGTCGGTTACTGCTAGCGCCAGGAGTCTTTTTCCATAGATAATAAAATTCAACTAATTCTGATGTATCTTTATGAGGAAGTAAATCCTTTTTAATTTTAAAAAAATTCTTACCAAACTGACGAATACCCTTGACAAATCTTTTTGTCTCTTCTTCAGACCACTTTTTCTCTATACCTTTGGGGACTGGGCACTTAACTAGTGCTTGAAGCGCTCGCCCAGGATCGTAACCAGAGTCATGAAGAACATCTAGTGCATTAATTGTAGTGTCATCACGACTAGCAGCTACACAACCATCATCTGGGGAGCCACCATCACACATTCCCGCAAATGCTGCCATTGAACGTGCGGCTCGTAAATACATAACAAGATCTCGATCTGTTGCCTGTGCTGGCAGCCAACGTAATTCTTCGCCTCCAGGACAGGGATCATCAGGTCCTAGCGGACCATTCACACGAATATCGGGCAAGCAAGCATAAATGTCCTTATCTTTCACGGGTTGATTCGGTGTTCCCACTTGAACCTCTCCTTGATTCTGGGCCATGATAATGAAATGGGCTATTTACACTGGGCAATTTTTTTTCACTCACATATCACCAACAATTCGTTCGTTTACATTATGTTAAGTGTCAATTCTGAACGAACACGTTACAGTCTCTTTTTAGATGTATTTTTTATGGTCCGTAAAGAAGTAAGTATGCCAATATACATAATTATTTCTCCTAATGGCCACCATTACACGATGCATTGTGGTTCATTTTAATAACTTATATCATACACACGTATTACATTTTTAAAATTCACTTAGTCATAATTTATATGTACGTTTAATAAGTAAATTATTTAAGTATACTTTATTTTTAATTAAATAAACGCTATCTACATGCTACCCTTTTGTTTAGCTTCACCTTTCTTTGGCTCAGGCCATAGACAACATGGGTTCTATAAAATGGCTGCCACGAGAGGACTTTTTAGTCTATACTCGTAGACAGAGAAATCTATACTCTTTGTTACACAGCTTTTTAAGTTAAATTTGGAGTTTTGGCGGGAACTTGACCGGCGGCGGTTGGCTACTCCTGTATTATTGTTTAAATAATGGTTTGAAGTGGACTTTGATATGTAAAAGTGATGCGATTTTGTGTATTAAGTATCTGTGCATGTGAACTATTAGTGGAAACTGTGAAACAAGTGCTCTGATGGTGATGTAATTCTCAAAATAAGGTGTCTGTCTGCTTAGGCGCCTTGAGATACCTTCGCCAACCGTCAGCTATCTGCTGGCTCAAGTTGCCGTCAAAATCTCCCAAGGGCTGCACAATGTGACGCATCAACATATTGTGAAGCAGTATACTATGAAGGATAATTATTATAATATATTGTAACTTACAGGCTCAGAAGGGCTAGATCCCAGAGCCGTAAAGCCAGTTATTAAGAAGTTAAATTTTTAGTTTAGAAAATAGATTATAGAATACATATAAGAAAACGGACAACATAGAACAAAACGGGCCACCAGCGGATCAGACGGGAGTAATTTTTACACATTATTACTATTTACTTCTTTTTAAACTTAAAAATTAAAATAATATGGGTTTTGTTGTTTCCGGTTTGCTTACGAACACAGGCCGCTCGCCCCACTGACCTCTAATTCTATCAATATAAAGGTACTCTGTGGTTATACAAGTACGCAGGACGGGCTGGATTTGATTTTCGCCATTTTGCATTTAGCAGAATTGAGCGTACACGGAACTAATAATAGAGATAGGACAGTGTGACAATAAATATTGATATAAATTTTATACCCAGGCCTACCATTATATTTATGTATCAATTTAATATAGAGCCATACAATAAATAAATATATCAATTAATACTTATATCTTATACGTTTTCATTCGTAACTATAGAACGGGTTTTGTTCCAGGTTTTACCATTGGGTATGTATGGTTAATTCGACAGGTGAAAAAAGGTCCAGTGAGTAGGAAAAATTGGAGTAGGTAACAAAAAAATTGGAGTAGGTACAAAATAAAAAATAAACAAAATTATAAAGACTATAAGGTCAAAATTCATCTGGTCCTCGTAATAGAGAAAATCAATCAGCTGCCAAAATATTATGCCTATTTCAACAATATCTATAGGTACAATTAGAATTTTGCAAACTTTAAATTACATTTAAGAACACAATACAAAAATCATTGACGCCATAATCAATTTGCTTCGGATAAATTCACAAGTTTTATACTTTTTAGTCACAGTATTAGTATAGAGTCAGTTTAAAACCTGTAAATTAATAAATATTTCATCAATTTTCTGTTGTCAGCTACTTTCATTACTGTAAACAGATATACATAGGTAGGAAAAAAAACCGATAAGAATTATCTAGAAGTACTTCGCCAGTCCTATTGAATTTTATTGTTTATCAAAAATAGGCAAATGAAATATGTTAGTAATTTAAACATTTAATAAGATAAGTGACAGATTTTTAGAGCCTATATTATCAAATAGTTTTAAATTTTAATACAAACTGAAAATCCCCTTACCTATTGAATTACTACTATTTCAACTACTATAAGTACTATATTAATAGGGGAAATTAGATTAATCAATGGATTAGTAAGTTGATCTTGATTATCAATAACTTTATTACCTATAATTTTTTTTAGAGCAGGTTATAGATTACGTTTATATTCGTATACTTAACATGGTAAATATAATTTAAGAATTTATAGATTCCATACTGGAGTTTTTCGTGAATATTTAATATTAATTTTACATTGATATGTTAATTTTAAATATTGAACTACCTTAAACTTTTACGATGTCCTTTATGTTTCGATTTTTATTTTACTTAAACCAGTACAGCATCTGTTAACAGTAATGTTGGTAAAGCAATAAAGACTAATTTGCGACGTTTACTAGGCAAACATTGAAATTGCAACGAACAGAAATTACTGCGGTAGGTTCCCAAACCATTTTTCGATTGCACAATTGTGTCTACCTCATTTTTAAGTGGGGGTCTTTTGGTAATCTGTTAAAGTAAACTATTATATATACATAATAGTTATATAGCGCAAGTGCGCACGCGCCTTTGTCGTAGAGTAGGACACCTGTTATCAATTATTAGCTTCTTTCAAACGAAGTAATAATCGATAAACATAAAAAAATGTTTAGCTTTAAACACTGAAGAAATGGTTTTTTTTAGAATTATCGTGTTGTTATGATAATTCTAAAAACACTACGATCTAAGTATTTAAAGCTAAACTTTAGAGCTTTTTTGTTTAAGTGTGTTCTTGTATATATAGAGATAATAAATTATGTTGACATAATAAAAAACCCATTAAAACAAACAATTAAAAAATCATACTTACTTACTCGTTTCCTAGTAAGCCACAAAACGGTAGTTTCGTAAGTTCAACTTTTTTTTAACAATCAATAACTTGTCGATTGTTATCAAATCAAAAATCAATATTACTTGTATCTAAATGTAGTAGGTAAGTAAGTGTAAAAAGAAAAGTATCGATAAACGATAATTGCACCTTGTGGACGCCCTATTTATTACTTTTATTATTTTCGCCATTATGGAATTTGGAAGTTTGGCTTTCTGTTCACCGCAATTCTTTCAGAATTTAAGTGCATTTCGCTGCTTATGTGCATTGCTTCAAGTGATTTATTTTTTGTAAGATAAATACAATTAGTCAAACAATTTTTTTTTACAGTGAAAGAGACCCTTATCAGTTAATTGACTTTGTGTGTGTAAATAGTGTTTTTAAGTACGTTTATTTTTATTATTTTTTCACTGTGATATTGACACTACTTGATTTTTGTGTGTACGTATTGGCGGCAGAAAATGCCAAATTAACAGCATTTTTACAGTGCGGCGGAGTATACAGACATGGTTTTATTGTATGGCGAATGCCGCCAAAATTTAGCGTTAACTCTGCGTACTTATCGTGAGAGATACGGCGCAACTCGCGTCTGCCCTACTAGCGTCCGGATTATCCTAGGTGCTGTTCAAAAAATCAGGGAAAATCAGCGCATAGTACCCAACACTCATGAAGGAGTTGCTCCGCGTCACTTTCCACCATCGTTCGAACAATGAGTTTTAGACCATTTCAATCGGAATCTAACCTGCAGCCTTAGACAATCTGGGCGTGTGTTTAGAGTGAGACATAGAAAAATACACCGAGTGCTTAAAACGAACAAACTACGTCCTTATAAATATGCTAAGGTGCAGGCGCTGCTGCCCCGTGATAAGCCGATTAGAGAGTCTTACTGCCACTGGGTACTGGAAAAAATGTCTCAAGACCAACGTTTCCTATCAAATGTGTTTTGTACATATGAAAGCACGTTTGCTCGAAACGGTACATGGAATCGACAAACCATGCGTTACTGGAGCCATACGAATCCCCATTTATTTAGGGAATCAGGTTATTAATACCGATTTTCCATTAATGTTTGGGCAGGCATTCACGGAGATCAAATATTCTTAACGGCCCAATAACAGAATATTTAGAAGTATTGTCTGTGGCAGCTTACCAGAGGGTATGGTTCCAGTTAGATGGAGCTCCTCCACACTCCATACTCCTCGCGACTTAACACCATATTTGGCCAACAATGGATAGGGCGCTATGGCCCTCGCAGGTGGCCAGCTCGGTCGCCCGACCTCACTCCTCTAGATATTTTTTTATGGGGCTTTATTAAAAATGAGGTGTACTCAAAGATCTCCGAAACCAAAGATGAACTGCGCAATCGTATTGTTGCCGCCTTTGACAAATTAAAAGCCCTGGGTCTGGATTCTGAACGAAATTTGTTGAGCAGGCTTCAGGACAACATTATGCGGCGATGTAACTGGTGCATTCAAGAATGTGGCGGACATTTTGAAAATTTTAAAATTTGGGGTTCCATTAAATTTTGCAACTAATATGCAATAATATTTATTTTGTTCTGTTCCATTTTCTCGAAATAAAAAAATGGCGTAAAAATACCTAAACAGTTTAGTGAGTAGGTAAGTTTATATTACGTCGCACATTCTCAAACGAACCAAAGGGCGTGCCGACAATAACGCTGCCTGCCGCCAATCGCCATGCCACCCGCGTGCAACGTTGCCACTCTTACAATGGGTCAAGATACGTAGTCTAAACGGAGTGTTTACTTTTACCGAATATATTTTGATATTAATTTTATTTGAAAATTTCACTTTTTTATTTTACGGGTTTTAATTTAATATTTAATTTTTCTATACTTCTATGGACTAGTATTACTTGTGGTTTTATTTATTGCATATAATGTGGATTCCTTACTGTATATATATTACATATATATATGAGAGTTTGTATGTTTGTTACTCTTTCACGCCACAACGAAAATTATTAACGAAATTTAATATTGACGCATCGATAGACCTATTCTTGTTGGAGTTTTATCGGGAATTTGACAAGCGGCGGATCGCTGCTCCTGTGTCATTGTTTAAATAAGGGTTTGAAGTAGATTTTGATATGCAAAAGTAATGCAATTTTGTGTATTAAATGTCTGCTCATGTGGACTATTAGTGGAAAGAGTGAAACAAGTGCTCCGCAGATCATGTGAATCTCAAGATAACGTTTCTGTTGGCCCAAATTGCCGTCAAAGTCTCCCAAGGTATGCACAATGTGACGCAGGCATAAAGGATTATTTCACTTCATACGGAGATAAAAGAAAACATGGCTAAAAAGACAAGCATCCACGTCAAAACTTAATAAAATAACATCCATCGATCACTGATTGTGACCACAGAGTACAGTACCTTTGTATTGTGACAAATTCTTAATTCATAGATCTACATCACAGTAGTCTTGGGCTTAGTCGGTCGCTATTGGGAGCGCTCAATTTAGTTCGTAGTCCTATAGCGAACTAGTTCGCTCATTTAGTTCGTTAGTTCTTTTTTAATTTTTCAGTAGATCTTATTAAAAAAGATGAGTTTATTGAATGTCAGTAAATAAAAATCAATTGAATTTACGTTAAAGAAATATAAATCATTTAATTAGTACTACATTATATATAATATATGCATGATACTTATCAAGAACTATTTGATGATATGGAAATTAAAATAAAATATAATAAACGAAGCTAAACATGTTTTTATATTTTTGAAGTGTATTGAATTAATGAAAATAACGCAACTGCAATTTATAGATTACATGTCACTAGTTAATATAACATAGTAACACAGTGTAACCTTGATATAACAAACTTCAATATAACGAATTCCTCGGTTTAATGAATTTTTCGAAATCCCCTAGAACTGCCTGTAAGAGCTAATGCAAAATATAACTCTACATTACGAATAGATTTTATCAAAAACATCTTTATGACGCATTTTTTAGTCATTGCAAAATATATATATAGAAGGTATTATTTACCTCTATTTAACCAATTTTTTCAACTTGAAATCTTGACATAACATATCCTATTAATTATTCCCACTTAATTCCACAATAAATCATGTCTTGACAGGTTCAGACACGTACACGACAGGCAGATGACTATTTACGTAATGTTGAGGTTAATAAACAAGTTTTCTTTTAAGATGTTTTTAAAGTATAGATACGTTATGCTCGCTCTAAAATGGCAATACGAATGTCAGGTAATTGCCCGACTCGTATTCAGTCGGGCACGCTTTCGCGTCGCGGCTATACCTTCGCTACAGCGTGTAAATCTTCTAGTTACTCGTGGTAAAATGCCTTCCTGTGTTTTTAGGTGGTGCACAAATTACACGGAAACTGTTAGAAACAAGAAAAACGTCGAAAAGATTAGATGTTTTGTTCATAATTGGTTTTATTATTTCAACACTAACCACTAGTGTAAACTTTGACGCTAGCTAGTGTGTTCATTTCCATATCGGTATGTCACGCGCTCGCGCCAATGAGCGCTCAGCAGCAACCTATACGCAACTAATGATGTATTTTCATCTTTTTCTAATGATAGGTATGCCGTATCATTTGTCTCTTTTTGTTAGCGCAACGTGTCATAATAAATAACTGTACATAGATATAGTACTACCTGCGCCATTTTAAAATACAATAATGTTGGTGTGTAACCTGTCTATCTTTTTTTAATACGTCTTTGGTTTTCTTAACTTGTTAAAACTAATCGTAGTTACATCTAACCTCTATATAACAAACCTCATTATAACTAGTTACTCGGTATAATAACGAATACTTTTTAATTCCATTCAGTTTCGTTATATTGAGGTTGCACTGTATTCAAGTATTTATAAAAATTAGTAGAAATAGAAAAGTAAAATTTTAATTTTGAATAAACTTACAGTAAAATCGAATTGAGAACTATACGGTATTAATGTACTGTTTACTATCACTTTCATATTCATATTATGAGCCAGCAATATTTGTTCTTTGTTGTGAATTGTGTACTAATAAAACTTTAACTATAGACTATAATTATATACTTTAATAAGAAACTCTGGTAAGAACGGTAAGAGAAAAAATAAATCAGTCGGTTAGCCATGCAGCGCCACTCCATAATAGAGGGGACGCCCGAAAAATAAATAATTAAAGAACTAAGAACGGGATTGTCGACGAACTAGTTCGCATAGTTCACCTAAAAGAGCGCTATTCCCACCTAGGTCGTTCGCGAACTACCCAAGACTACATCACAGAGTACCTTTAATCTACATATTTATTTATATATGTCATGTCATAGATAAATAGATATGTAGCAAGCTAGACAAATTTTTAGTGGAATGGAATAGTAAAAAGTTATTGTGATTTGTGATTTATGTATTTATATTGTTTTCGTCATTGACTTATATGAGAATAATAAAAATATAATTGTCTTCATCAATCAATATGACATCCGACGATTCTGATGACGAGCCTTTATCCGTATTAGCGGCGGCGAAAAAATTAAATCCAGAAAAGTTTGTTGAACCCGTTGCCGAGGACTCCAGTGAAGTACCTCGAAAAAGAAAACGAAAATCTTTAACACCGAAGAAACTAGGAATCACGATTAATATTAACCGCAAGCAAAGGACCTTAAATCCGCCTCCAGTGATAGAGCGACCGGCCGATGTTTGGCTGTATTTGAAAGATTTGAACCCCTCTGGACCTTACAGTTGTTTGTTGTGTCCAGATTGGTTCATTAATCGCTCTAAAATGATTTTGCATTACGTGTTGAATCATAAAAAGGATTTCTGTGGCATTTGTAGGTAAGAGATTATTTTATTACTGGATAATATCATTTGCGTGGCCTACAAAGTAAATTAGAGTTATAGTTTGTAAAAAAAAGTAGTAAAGTACAATATAAAGTTTCCATACATAGTTTAACATAACATTTTGTACCATTTGAATGTACCTAGGCGGTTCTCACTGCCCAGAACATCGACTGACATGAGCTGAGCAGTCAAAGGCGGGGGAACGCACACCCCTACTAGGACAGCGGGTAGATAGCTCAATAAAACTCAACAGAGGGGACATGATGATTTGTAACAATACCAAATCATAAACCATCATCATCCTAAAAAAACAGTCTTTTGAGTGACATTTACTGGAAATATGATTAAAAATTTTAATAATTTGTGATTATAAGAATTGATACTCAATGGTAAAATAATTTAGATAATTAATTACAGTTTACTAAAGCCTAAAGTGATGACCTATTTTTTGAAAAAGTACATAAATGGTTAATATTTGTATATTTTTTGTCACCTGACCAACTAATTTTAATAGAAACAATGCCCATTGCCACAGGTCAGTCTTATCAAAAGTTGTGCCTTTTAACCAAAGAAAATTTTTGATGATTGCCATCTTTGGAGAAAACAAGATCAGCAATAGTTGCACACAATAATGTCTGAGAGACTGCATTTACTTATCACAGAAGCTACATAGAATATGTTGCTGCCTAAATGTTTTAAGTAAAATTAGTATTATTCTACAAGTTTTTAATCAGTAAAAATAGGGTTTTGATTATTATTTTAGAATATGAAATAATGTTCTATGATATGCAATACTCAAATAAAATTTAAAAAATGAATTGAAAGTTTTCCCTCTTTATACTGGTTTACAATCATCATTAATGTGGTTTTGTGTGATTTTTTTATGATTCCAATTTAATGATTTCTTATATTTATGCGAACACTACACATTTAAATAAAACTATTTTTATGGATTTTATTACATATATTAACTTATTTTTTTTATATTCCTGATGTTTTGGGTGCTTTCCAGCATCCGTGGTCAGGGGGGACTGAGGTGTTTGACGTCCTGATGTCATAGTTAGCCCAGCTACCTTCAGTTTTTCGGAAGCACCGACATATCGGGAAGTCTGCAGTTTGTGAACATGTTCAAGATCGTCCCCGCCATTACATTAGATTTGATAGACCACAAATCCTTGCAAAAGAACACCGATTCCTACCAAGGATGATTTGTGAGGCTATTGAAATTAAAAAACATCCTAATTTCAATAGAGAAGATGGATGGGTGCTGCCATCTGCTTCATCATCATCATTACAGCCTTTCATAAGTCCACTGCTGAACATAGGCCTCCCCCAAAGAATGCCTCAAAGCATGGTCCTGAGCCACCTGCATCCATCGACTTCCTGCATGTCTTACCAGGTCGTCACTCCATCTCGTGGGGGGTCGCCCTACACTTCGCCTACTGGTATGAGGCTGCCACTCAAGAACCTTTCTTCCCCATCAGTTGTCGGTTCTTCGAGCTATATGGCCAGCCCACTGTCACTTCAGCTTACTAATCCGTTGGGCTATGTCGGTTACTCTGGTTCTACTGCGGATATCCTCATTCCTAAGTTTATCACGCAGATAAACTCTGAGCATAGGCCTCTCCATAACTCACTGAGTGACCTTGAGTTTCCTCATACGGCCAGCAGTGAAGGACCACGTCTCAGATCCATAAGTCATCACTGGCAACACGCACTGGTTGTATAATTTCGTTTTAAGGTTTTGAGGTATGTCTGACCAGAAGATATGTCATAGCTTCCTGAACGCTGCCCAGCCGAGTTGAATCCGTCGATTGACCTCTCGGTCGAAGTTGGACTTACCCAGTCGGACTATTTGTCCCAGGTAAACATACTTGTCAACAACTTCGAGCTTAGTGCTCCCAACAACTACCGGCATAGGTGTGACATGGACATTAAACATAATCTTTGTTTTGTCCATGTCCATCTTTAGACCTATCCGTTGGGAAACACTATTGAGGTTATTGAGCATAGTGCTTAGGTACTCCAGCGATTCTGCCATAAGGACTATATCGTCGGCAAATCGAAGGTGAGTGTTGTACTCGCCATTGATGTTAATACCGTATCCTTTCCAGTCCAGAAGCTTCGAAACGTCTTCCAATGCAGCAGTGAAGAGTTTCGGGGATATAACGTCACCCTGTCTTACACCTCTCTGCAATTGGATAGGTTTCGTACTCTGGTTCTGTACTCGGATAGCCATCGTAGCCCTACTGTACAAGCACTTCAGCACTTCGATATACCGACAGTCAACTTGGCACCGCTGAAGGGTCTGCAGCACTGCCCAAATTTCGACAGAATCAAAGACTTTCTCATAGTCCACATACCAGGCCAGGCATAGTGGCAAATTGTACTCCTCGGACTTCTGTACAACTTGCCGAAGGGTATGTGTGTGGTCTATGGTGCTAAAGCCCTTTCGGAAACTGGCTTGTTCGGGAGGCTGGAAGTCGTCAAGTCTGCGTGCGAGACGTTTCGTAATGACTCTCGAAAACAGCACATAGACGCGGCTCAGAAGGGAAATCGGTCTATAGTTCTTCAAGAGGGCATTGTCACCTTTCTTGAAGAACAGGACCTCCACACTTCTGCTCCACGCCTCCGGTGTAATGTCACCATGGAGGACGGTATTAAAGAGCCTCTGAAGGACTTCCATTACCGGTTTTCCACCCGCTTTCAGAAGCTTCGCTGTAATTACATCCTCGCCTGGGGCCTTGCCGTTTTTAAGATGCTGGAGAGCCATTCTAATCTCGCTCAGACTGACGGGATATCATCGGAATAGTGTCGGATAAGACTCGCTCTTAGATCGTTACTCACACTTGCGTGCGGCTCCAACGATGACGTGTACAGCTGTCCATAGAACCTCTCAAGCTCACTCAAAATCTCAGATGCCCTGGAAACGATGCTGCCACACTCGGTCTTCCAGCTTTGACAGTTGGCTCTTTCTGGCAGACAGATCTCTGGCAAAGACTTTGGAGCCTTGGTTCCGCTCGATTGCTTCAACAATACAAGCTGTATTGAAGTTGCGTAAGTCCCGCCGCATGCATTTGGAGATATGTGTGTTCAGTTGCCTGTATGCTGTCAAATCTGTTGAAGAATGTAGCTTCATCTCCCATCTAACAGCCATGAAATTAAGAGTGTGATCGGAGAGTTTTTGTGTTCTTCTGCGGCGGGTCTTGCAGAACTTAGCTCCGACCGCATGGACAGTTTTCACGAGCTTGTCATTCATATCGTCTACTTCATTGGAGTCTTCTAGGCACTGAAAACAGTTTTGTAACTCGAGCTGAAAGGTTTCAGGACACGAGGTCAGGTTCAGGGAACAGAGCACGAGGGGGACGGAGCCTTGACTTCATTAGACGAGACCTCTCCAACTTAACGTTTAGGTTGTGTGCCTCTAACCATTCGGTGATCGCTACCAGTTATCACCCTCGCGATCACGGAGACATCACTGAACAGTTTGTCGTCTGGTTGTCATAATGAAGTCAATCTCATCTTTTGTCGAACCGTCGGGGCTCGACCATCTGCTTGGGATCCCATAATTAATCAAATTAAATCCAAACCCAAGTATACCACTGCTAGATTTCAAGATACTGTAAACTCATTCTGCGTAAATCGAACCAAAAATTAATATTAAAAAACTGAAGGTAGCCGGGCTAACTATGACATCAGGACGTCAAACACCTCAGTCCCCGTGACCACGGGTGCTGGAAAGCACCCGAAACGTCGGGAATATAAAAAAAAAAATTAATATACGCAATAAAATCCGTAAAATTAGTTTTATTTAGACTCCAATTTAGACAACATAATTGTATTTTCCAAAATGTGTAACAATTAATATAAGTTAATTAAAAAAGTTTAAATTAAATGTGATAAAATCTAAAATAACTTTATTCCATGCGCAATAACAATACATACATTTTATAGAAGTTTTTAGTTTATTGATGAATATATAATTATTTTTTTTCAGATATTTTGTGCCAGATAGAGAAGCTTGGTATGAACATGTCAAATTTCATGTACCTTGGCCTTGTTCACAATGCGTTGCAAACTTTCCTAACCAAATAACATTACGTCATCATCTTAGCGCCGTTCACAAGCTTGTCCACTGTCGTCTTTGTCACTTTCGTGTCACTGATGATGATCAATATAATACACATTTATTTCAAAAACATAATGTGACGAATGTACTCAGTAAAGATGAAGAAGTTTTATGGGACTTTGATTATGAAGGCACCACACAATTTCTATGTCTACTCTGTTCTAAATCCAACAATCTCATTTCAACATTTTTCAAGCATTATATGGGCTATCATCATTTTACTATTAAATGCTTGACTAGTATTATTTCTGGTAGAGATCCACCATTCACTATTAATGGTGCAGATGTAAGTTCACACTTCATTGATGGGCAGTTACAAGGTCAAATTCGGTATGGCTATGTTGATTTGGGCAAGAGACCTTTTGAAATTCTCCATGCATCAAAAGATGGAAATAATGCTTATAGTTACTTAAAAGCAGAAATAAAAGTAGAAACAAAAAAAGACACAGACAATAACAAGGAAGATGATACAAAGAAAGATGGTAAAATCAAATATGAAAATATTCATAAAAATTATAAAGGTGATGAAGATTTTGATGTTACCTTGACTGAACTCATTGTACTAGAAAAATGCTATTTTGATTATGTTACTCGTACTTTAAACGACATTAACTGCAATCAAATGCCTGAGAATTCTGTCATACCATATGAAGATGGCAAATCTGATATTATTATGGATGTAGACTGTCCATTATGTAAATCGAAGTATGAAAATGCTCAAGCTTTTACCATGCACATGAACAAAATGCATTGTGTAAAGTTAGTGCCTTTGTATTCATGCAGAGTATGTGCTACAACATTTGACACTCAAAGTGAACTGGACACTCATACATCCATGGAACTGGGTGATTTTGATGACTTATGGATCTGTCAGTTTTGTGACAAAGAGTTTGATAATAGGGAAGCTACAAGGAAACACCTAACAGAGCACTGGGACATAATGGAGTATGACAATTGTTTCAGCCCACACTTGGGTTTCAAATGTAAATATTGTCCTACATTGTTTTGGAATGAAACAGATCGTGAACAACACCAAGTGAGAACACATTTTATAAACTATACAGACCAATTCTATAAATGTGAGAGTTGTTCTGAGACTTTCAGTGACAAGGTAATTTCTATTGTTATTGATAACTTTTCCACATATTAGAATACTGTTTAATGAAACTGAAACCTAGTGCAGATGAATTTTTATTGTATTTGCTTTTTTTTTTGCGAGTTATTTTTGGATGATATTTTATTTTCAGGTGTGGTTTATACATCACCATTTAGAGAAACATTTTGAAGACAAAATAACTACTTACTTATTGAAGTGTTGCCTGTGTTGCATAATTTTACCAAATGTGGAAGCAATGAGGAATCATTTCCAAGACGAGCATCCTGAAGCTCAGAAGGTGTATTGCTCATTGGATTCGTGTCAATACAAGCCCCTTAGTCATAGGAAATCATTTAAGCTGCATGTTAAGGTAAACTTATTGATTTTCAATAGGAAAAATATTCAATTTAGTATATTCACGAGGTTCAAAATGTAATTAACTATTGTTTAATTACTATGTTTGTAACAAATTGAAGGTATTGATTGATTTTAACAAAAATTCTCTCAAGTGCTGATTAACATGTGATCCATTAGATATGTGTATTAGTAAACTTCATTTATTATTGTTTACTTTTGTTTAATGATAATGGACACAACTAAAACTGACATTAATTCAGCTAGAATTAAGTCAATGTGTTATGGCCTCAATAAAGAATCTTAGCCGTTCATCAGTCCATAGAGCTTACACAAAAACTTGTGGATATGAGTCTTTAAAGAAGAAATTTGTTTGAATAAGACCTAGATCAGGCAGAAGTTGTGTCATGTCGCAGAGCAATGATGGTGCTATTGTACTGGATCCCTGCATAGTTTGTATTTCCCTCAGCTTGATCTTATGCTATGGCTATTTGAGCAATGTGGAGTGGCTGTAAGTGACAGTACAGTTAAACGAACATTTCAGGAACAATATTTGTGTTTTCAAAGTGGATCCAAAATTAATCACAGTGTACCAACTACCCGATGACAGACTCCAGTTTGCTAGAAAACACATCAACTTTAGTGATGTTAATAGGTCTATATTTTAAAAATAATTGGATTATTATTATACAGCAATAGTATAGCTCTACCCTAGATGGTCATAGAGCTCAAAGAACTGATAACCAATGGGAAAAAAGAGTCTCGACTGGCAGCCACAAACTGGTAAGTGCAGTGCTGGTCGACCCCACTAGATGCAGTGACAATCTGATGAAACATGCAGGATAGAATAGAATAGAATAACTTATTCTATATAGATTATTACATAATACTTATTGAAAGTAATTTTTTTATTTACCATTTACCAGGGAGTTGATGGATACAGGTGACTCAGGACCGTGGGTAATCTATAGGAGAAGCCTATGTTAAGTAGCGGTCTTGTGATGGGTTGTTATGATGAGGGTTATTGTACAACTGTGGTCCATTTTATTCCAGACAGTCCACAATCCCTCCGTGCGCGCGAAGAAGGCAGTTAATTGCACAGTGTGCGGCCGTGATTTCAATACCTCGCGTGCGTGTGCCGCTCACGTGGCACAAGTGCACGGGCCCGGCAAGTTCAAGTGCAAACTTTGCAGGGACGTGCTGCATACTATTGACGAGAGGTGGGTGAGATTTTTCTTCAGATTTCAAATATGATATGTGGTTTAAGATATTTATTTCTCAAAAGAATTATAATTCACTTACATGAGAAATGTTCACAATGTTACATAGCTTAATTGAAACGGCACGACACACAAACAAAGTGATAATAAAACAAAATGACACAGTTTTCTTTAAAATCTAAGGTAAATAATGTAACAAAAAGAAAAGTTTTAAGTGCAAAGTAAAATAATAAACGTAAAATGCAACGATTAAAAATAGCATTCATTTACACTATTTGGTTCGACCGCAGAGTGCAAAAATATTCATATACCGACATTATGCTTCGCTTAATCGAATTGACGTTGAACTATCGAGACTAGAAGTGATATGCATCCCTAATTGAGCGCAATTACTACTTGGTCAATGCTATATAAGCTTTCTTAGATATATTTTTTAAACTTTCTACCAGTATATACATATATACAAATATACACACACACATACATACACGTATACATACATACACATACACACACATAAATATACACATACACGTACATATACATGTGTGAATACATTATTTACATACCAATACATATATATGCACATACACATACACACACACATATTCACATTCAAGTTTTATTAATCATCATTGTATTAAGTTGAATCAATTATTATGCCAATTTAATAACATTTTAGCATTTTAGTTTACGTATTCATATTTTAATCATCCAATGATTAACTACAATTTAAGCGAAGTACCAAACCACCTAGATTATGTGTTTAGAAAATAAGGTTTTAGTAATTTTTTAAAGGTTGTCATAGATTTGGCATCCCTTATCTCTTTTGGTAGTTTGTTGTAGATTAAGGCACCTTCATTCAATATACATTTTTTACCGTAGTTAGTACGTGCTGTACGTAGTTTTAATTCTCTGTAAAGTCTTGGTCTTAGTTTTGTTATAGGTTTATTTTTGGTAAATGTTATTTCTGTACGAATGCTTTTATTTAGTATTTTACGTACTAAAATGCAAGTATAATATTTATATGTTTGTGATATAGTCATGATTTTAATATCCTTATAAACTTTGGCCGTTGGAGTAAGAAAGTCGTAATTAAATAGTACCTTAACCAGTTTATTTTGTGCTACCTGTATCGTTTCTATATTGGTTTTTGCTGCTGTGCCCCAGACCTCTATAAGGTATTCAATGTGTGGTTTGACTAACGAATTATAAATAGTGTAACGCACGTCACGTGGGAAACATTTCACTATATTTCGCAGTGCACCAGTAAGAGAAACCAATTTAGATTTAATATTATTTATATGAGACTTAAATGTCATATGATTATCCAACAACAGACCAAGGTATTTTTCATGATCTACCTTAGAAATTAGTTCACTATTTATTGTCAAAGGCTGATAGTTACCAATTTTTTTGTTTTTTGATGTAAAAATTACGTAGTGAGTTTTGGTAATATTTATAGTAAGAAGGTTAGATTGAAACCAAGTATTCAATATATTAAGATCTGATTGAGCATCGGCAATCAATACATCAATCGAATATCCGTAGTAAAACAAACATGTGTCGTCTGCATATAACGTTATGTTACCTTTTAATCCTATACCCTTAATATTATTGATATAAGTCAGAAAAAGCAACGGCCCTAATATAGAACCTTGGGGTACTCCAAAAGTTATTAATTTTGGTTTGCTTTGATTAGAACCAATTTTTACAACTTGATATCTATTGGATAAGTATGATGCAAAAATATCCAAAGCAGAACCAGAGATACCAATATATTTTAATTTACTCAGTAACAGTTCATGACTAACCGTATCAAACGCTTTCTTTAGGTCTATAAAAATACCTAGTGCTAATTGTTTTTTGTCTATGCTAACTTTGATTTTTGTGACTAAATCTATTGTTGCCGAAAGAGTATTCGATTTCGGTCTAAAACCGTACTGTTTATCGTATAGTATTTTTTTAGAATTTAAGTAGTATGCGAGACGATTGTATAACGCATATATGGCTTAGGAACCTTCAAGAAAAAAGCTTACTCTCTTCTAAAATTCTGGGAAATATACCAGCATTCTCTCTGGTTTTGTAGATGTTCATGGGTGGTGGTGATCATTTCCAGCCACAAAATTTCTTGATGGTTGGCAATTCACCGTCGAGAGTTATTCTATCTGCTACCTGCCTACCGATGTGTTTTGGGGCTATTTTATGAAAAGAGTCAAGAGCATCGGCTATTCTTCTGGTTATGCAAATGTTTGGTGCCGTGTTAGCTTAGAGTTAGCACCGGCACCATGTTAGCTTAGAGTTAGTTCCCCGCACCAATGAAATTGTTAACTGCACTTTTAAATGCTGATTTAACATGTGGGCTCTTCTTTGCCCAGAAGTGAGATATATATATATATATATATATATATATATATATATATATATATATTTTGTCGTGTGCCGTATGTTCGTTGGTCCTCTTTTTAATAAAAAAGTTGTTAGAGTAATACAGAAAATTTTCAATTACGTTTTCAAGGTGTAGGTTAAAAAAAAATTTCAAATAACAATCGTGAATAAAGCTACTCGTGCATAGAACCTAAGGTTATGTTTGTGATCCAATTGGTTGTAGCCTAAAAGTTTGTTTCATCGGGTGATAAACCTCAGTGCGCTTTAAACGAATTCTTATTGGCCGATTATATCAATACAATATCTATACATACATAGAAGTAGCATGATGTGTTTGTGCTCTTCAAAATGCTTTAAAAGACATGCCGAAAATAATAGTATGTGCATCCATTATAATGTGCAATACTAGTGACAATTTGTCAGTTCAAAGCAATTTTATCTATTTTGGTGCGAAATTCACAAATTGGCTTACTTAATGCGATTGTCCAACTAACAACCGGGCTAATGCGCGGTGTCTCGTACAAAACAAAAACTATAGGTGCATAGATTTTAAAACCAGTCGATTTGATTAGCGTCCATGTGCGCTACTACATAAAACACGCACAAAACAATAGGCATAACGTCATCGAACGATCGCAGTTGATTCGGAATTTTATGTCTCGACAGAGATTTGAAAACCGACCGATTTGACTGGCGTCCATGTGGGCTTTTAAATGAAACACCTTTGTTGAAGCTAACCGATAGTTTAGTCGGCCGATCACTTAATCTCTATGCGCGCGTAGCTTAATATTTCTAAAAGGTCAAATATTTTAATTTGATATTTCAGGAAGCTACACTATCTACTGCGGCACCCGGGCAGACATCCGTACGAGTGCTCGGAGTGCGGCAAGTCGTTCCAGTACAAGTCCTCGCTTTACATGCATCGACAGGACCATTTCCCCAATAAGCAGAGTTTCACCTGCAATTACTGTGGAAAGGTGTTCAGGGTAAGTTTGGAACATAATAAAATTCATATGACTTCTCCATCAGTCCGTAGAACTCCACTACTGAAAATGGCCCTTCCCCCGTTGTATGGAAGATTTGTGTGAATCGACACGCTTGACATGCAAATTTACAATCGCAGTGTCAGACGCCTCGCTCTTTGACGCTGCTGCCCGTCGCCAGTATGAGTATTTTGGGTCTGGTGTAAACAATATGATTACACAGTCATCTATGGGAAGTCATAAGATTTTTCTGGCGTTATAGTCAGCTCGTACCATACCCACAGGACGACATAATTAAATTTATAGTCTTACTTAAAATCGTTCATTTATAGTGGGGCTTGCAACTGCAGTTTTCAATTATTTTTTTAATTATTTGAATTGTTATGAGGAAGATGCTGCTGCCCAACTCCTGTTATATTTCCTCTATCGCCTCTTACAATGTTTACGGGACGATGTTGTGGTTATTCTTACATTTTTTGTATTCCGTGTGAATCAGTTATTGGATTATTCTGTCAAGAAATGGTCCGTAGCAGCCCAGAGCCAGGAAGTTAGCGGTGTTTCACTCCCGTGCCTCCGAAAGCACGTAAAATCGTTTGTGCATAGCCTGATTTTTTCTAGTAGCTTCGAATCGCCGTCCCATCAGACAATGAGAGTGAGGGAATAGTGAATACGCCTGTGCTTGCGTACACACTCGTCTCCGTTCGCCTAATCTTTCTCTAGTTGTGTTCCATCGGACTATGAGAGTGAGGGAATAGAGAACTTATACTTGCGCACACCGGTCTCCCTGACAGTAGTTCGGTCAGGGTGAAGGACACTGTTATCATATGAAACGTTTGCGTGTTGCGTGCGCGTGTGCAGAAGAAGGACTCGTACCGCGAGCACGTGCAGATCCACGAGGGCCCGCGGCACGCGTGCTCGTACTGCCCCATGCGCTTCGTGCAGCGCTCCAACATGCTGCGCCACGAGCGCCGCCACACGGGCGAGCGGCCCTACGCCTGCCCGCACTGCCCGCGCACCTTCGCCGACAAGGGCGCCTGCAACTCGCACGTCAGGTACACCCTACAACCTACAGTACACCCTACACTCTACACCTTACAGTCTACACCTTACAGTCTACACCTTACAGTCTACACCCTACCCTACACTCTACACTCTACACTCTACACTACACTACACCCTACACTCTACACCCTACACTCTACACTCTACACTCGACACCCTACACTCTACACCCTACACTCTACACCCTACACTCTACACCCTACACTCTACACCCTACACTTTACACTCTACACCCTACACTCTACACTCTACACCCTACACTCTACACCCTACACTCTACACCCTCCACCCTACACTCTACACTGTACCCCCTACACTCTACGCTCTCACTCTACACTTTAAACCCTTCAATGTAAACTACACCCTACACCGTACACTCCACACCCTACACCGTACACTCTATATACTACACCCTTGTCACCCTACCGTCTACAGCAGAGGTTCCCAAACTTTTTTTCTCGTGGACCACTTTCAAACTTTTACTATTTAAGGTAGACCCCCTGCTGCTACATTTCTACTGTATTCCCAAAACTCCTAAATATATCACCCTACATTGGGGGTGTTAAGAAGAAAAAAAAGTAGCACATTTTCTTGTGTCCTATTTATTAAAATAATACGTGTGGTTATACAAAACTATGAACATTTATTATTACAAACAATCAACAATTGACAAAAAATCAACAATAAAAATAGTCATACATTTAATGAGAGCGATGTACACGTACTTGATGAATTGGCAGCAAATTATCAATATTTGGCTTCAGTTTTGTAAGAAGTAATCTCAAATCTCCCCGTTCTGTGATGTTCAATCTGCTCCTTTTTTTGTTAACTGGTCGTTAACGGCACTAAAACTTCTTTCAACAAGATATAACGAGGGAAACGCCGTCAAAGACTTTCTCGCAATTTCCCACAGCCCAGGATATTTTTCAGGGATTTCTGCCCGCAGCCAAAATGTTTGATAGCCTTTTTAAATTTCATCTTCAGTTCCTCGTTGGTGCTGAGCTCAAGTAGCTCCTCTTGTAATACCACATTCGCCTCTTCCGGTTCATTAAATGGGGTTATGATCCATGGTGGTATTTCCATCGTCAGAATATCTTCAAATCTATTTTTGAAGTCATCATGCAGGGTATTTAAATGTTGAGCGTATGGCTGTATATCCTCATCAAGACATTCTATCTATGACAAGTGCGGAAACTAAGAGAATTCGCGTCGACTAATATTTTACTTCATTAATTTCAATTTACCAAGAAAACCCGAAGTTACACCCTTTCTTTTTATTAAATTAAGGTTGTACCCTTGTAACTGCAAGTTAACGTCATTGAATTTTTTGAACAAATCTGTTAAGTACGCAATGTCCGCTTTATATTTGATCAGATTTTCTTTTAAATCTGGTGCTTTAGTTTCCAAAAACTATCACTGATTAGAAAAGTGAGTAAAATCTCGATAAGCGTGCACCTTTCGACAACCAGCGTACTTCAGTATGTAAGAGCAGTCGTCGAAAAACTTTGTCATCTTCATCGCACAATAGTGCAAATAAACGGGTATTCAAAGCATTGCTTCTTATTTAATTAACTGCGTTAATCACAAATTGAAGCGATTGGTGCAATCTATCACTCAAATTTTTCGCTACAAGGTGTTGTCGGTGGATGACACAGTGAATTGCAATTAGTCCTGGTGTTATTCTTTTAAGATGGCTTATAAACCCACGATATTGCCCAAACATGGCAGGAACTCCATCTGCTGCCACCGAAATAATGTTTGTAAAAAAATATCACTCAGGACATTAAATATCGATTCGCCTTTAGAGTCCGACTTCAAAGTTTTCGTGAATAGCAGCTCTTCATGGATTTCTTCGTCCATAACAAATTGAACATATGCCAATAATATTTTTTTTTTTTTAGAAAAAAAACGTCACCCCTACACTAGGATTTTCTCCTGTGTCGTGGAGGCAGTTTACAAACATAAATTGCACAAGGACAAACATCCAGACCCGGAACAATTATTTGTAGGCCATACAAATACTTGCTCCGTGCGGGATTCGAACCCGCGGCCCCCAGCGCAACAATTGATTGCTAAGCCACTGCGCCACGGAGCCGTCCGTAAAATAATGTTTCATTACCAGGCAAAGTAGACTCGTCTAATTGAATAGGAAAATGAGTGCTTTGCAGATAATTATACAAGAAGCTTTCTATATCAGAGCTCATTTCATCAATACGTCTTTGTACAGTGTTGTTACTTAAAGGAATTCTTTTGAGTGCGTCAAATGGAGGTTTGTGTAGAACAGTTTTTAAAACCTCTTCAATAGCGGGTAAAATTAACTCTTCTCCGATGGTGTGCGGTTTTCCAGATTTCGCAATAAGTAACGAAATATTGTAAGATGCCCGCAAGCCATCATCGTTACTTTGAAACGTTGAAGCAAACACACTATTTACGGTAGGTCTCTTTTCATAATTTTCCTTCAAAGTTTGAAAGTATTTCAAATCTTTATCTATTTTTCCAGGATGACACCTTCTTAGATGGTCTTGGAGCTTTAATGGTTTCATAGAGTCATTGCTCAGAAATTTGTTGCATAAAAGACACAAAGGCAATAGTTTGTCTGCCGTTGATGGAAGAAAACCAAATTTCAAATAATCGACACTGTACTGTCGACATATCTTCTTAGATTCAGCTGTTTTCCGTATCAGTTGTGACCTGTAAGAAAAATGTTTGTTTTTGAGGCGATTTTACCAGAATATAATACAACAGAATATAACACAACAGAATATAACACAATGGCTATTAGAACACAACAGAATAGTATTATTGCAATAAGAAAAAACAAAATGCCCGCGGAAATACCGCTCTTTTCATGAATCTCCGTCGTCGCGTAAATAAATATTTTTAAACAAAAAAGTACCTATGATGTACCTAAAGTTTAATAATCCCTGGCTTTTTGTTCTTTTATATTTTTTAATAATCTCTAGTATTTAACTTTTACTACATAACTACCTACTACACTCAAATAGTAAAACAAATAGGCAGATATTTACTTTTCCCGGCATTGCAAACACTGATATCGATTCACTCACAGACTCAGAAAATTTTTTGTGTACCACCACTTACAACTCGTGAACCCCTGTTTTCTTTTCACGTCTAAGTGGACCTTCGTGTGGTCTCTTATGGACCCCTGGGGGTCCACCTGGACCACTTTGGGAACCTACAGTCTGCAGCCTCTTTAAAACGGATTTACATGTATTAACCATTCCACTGTCTCGCCAATCATATATGAATGTCTTTAGTTTTTTTTTTTATAAAATAAAGGTGACAAACAAGCATACAGTCCATGTGATGGTAAGTGGATGCTGTGGCCTATAGACATCTGTATCTATCTTTGATTAAGAATCATAATGCAGATGCATTGTCACCCCTGAAAACTAAGATGGAATGCCTCGTTTCCTGTAAAAAGGGTCTCCGGTTCTCTACACTTACCATACGAAACAAAGTAGTATTAAGCAGTGAAATTTATAATTTTATTAAATTGTAAGTAAATCCTAGTGTGAAGCTAACATTGTTACAAAAGAAGTAAAAGAATGAAATATACCCTACCGCCTCTATGAACCGAAACTCATATATTATTTCAAGGCTGATTACACGTATTAACTAGTCAAGTAATATTACACGAGCAGCAGACCTCTCCGAAAGATATAACATGCTCTCAAAATCTTTCGGAGAGATCTGTTACACGATAGAAGTTTAGCCATAATTCCAAGGATGAGAGCTTTTTACATACGTACGCCAGTGTGAATTTAGTGCTTTAGATAGATTTAATATATGACTGATCATAGCACTGTGACAAAATTTTTTTGTTAAAATATAAAATATTGTGTTCTAAAAACTTACATAGTAATTTTAATATATCGCTCTTTAATTACGCTTTGTACACAAAAAAACTATTTCTCATCAGATCAAAACTGGAGGGTGAAGAAATCAAATTGCTAAATATCCATATTAGTGCTATTTAATTAATTTTTGCTACGATATTTTATATTTTATAGCAATTATAGATTACAGCATACTGTTTAACATGTTTTTTTACAGGACACATTCCAAAGAAACCTCATTTGCTTGCGTTTACTGTGGGCAAACATTCGTACAAAAGTCGAAGCTCACCTATCACATAAGAAAACACACCGGAGAGAGTAAGTTATGAATTATAAAAATTACGTCACAAATACATTTTTTTAATTTGTTTAATTTTTTCCTCCATATAATATAATTTTTTAATAAATAGTAATTGTATAAAATTTTGCAGATTTGGAGACTTGCCCAGTATGCTCGAAATTATTCACCAGTGCTTGCGCTTTACGTGAACACATGAAAATCCACGTCGCAAAGAAACAATTAGTAAAATGTCCCTTATGTGGTAAGGAAATTTACTTAATTTTGCTAACTCTAAATTTAAATTCATTTGCCTATTGTTTTATTAACGAATTTATATATTATCCGAATGTCCCAGAAGGAGGCTAATTTTTAGGTGTATGTATATTATGTATTTCCTTAGTGCTCTTCCGTAACGGTGTTCTTAGTTTTCTCTTTATTTCACTAATGAAATGAAAGAAATGATTTTCAAATCAAAATGTTATTTCGAAAACAGACCTTCTGGGTTTCTTGATTCTCTAATGGATTCGTTTTTCACCTAAGTTTTATATAAAGTAGTTGGTTGTTGTGCATAATATTCTCGATGTTTCGAGTACTTTACAAGCATCTATGGTCAAGGGGAGACCGATTGGTTGTAAAAATTACACTAAACTACACTACTAAAGAACCAGAGTGACCGACATAGCCCAACGGATTTGTAAGCAGAAGTGGCAATGGGCTGTCCATATAGCTCGAAGAACCAACAACCGATGGGGAAAAAAGGTTCTCGAGTGGCGGCCTCGTACCGGCGGACGAAGTGTAGGGCGTCCCCCCCACTAGATGGAGTGACGACCTGGTAAGATATGCAGGGAGTCGATGGATGAAGGTGGCTCAGAAACGAAGAATGATAAGATAAATGGTCTTCAATTATCTTAAATCGAAATATAGATCCTACTCTAGCAAAGCCAGGGCTGGTCGCTCGTTAGTTAATAAGCAATAAAATCCGTAAAAACTAGTTTAATTATGTTTGTTGGCTCGACCGGGGTAGGACCACGCTCTCACAGAATACCAGCGTAAAATGGTAGCTTGATGCTGCTGTATTTCGTATGGTGAGTGATGTGAACCGGAAACCCTTTTAACTGGAAATGAGGTATTTCATCTTAGTCCTCAGGAGTGACAACACATCTGCATTTTGATTCGATTGATTAATCGAGGACAAATGTGTATGGGCCACAGCATCCACTTACCATCAGGTAGACTGTGTGCTCGTTTGTCACCCTATCCTATAAAAAAAAAGTGGACTGTGCGCGCGTTTGTCACATATATATCTAATTTGGTCCATTTTCAATAAATATATCGCCAATTTGGTCGATAAACTTTCATTTGACATGACGGCTCCGTGGCTCAGTGGCTTAGCAATGAGTTGTTGCGCTGGGGGCCGCGGGTTCGAATCCCACACGGAACAAGTATTTGTATGGCCTACAAATAATTGTTCCGGGTCTGGATGTTTGTCCTCATGCATAGATTACCTCCTAATAGATACCGCATCATTGAATATTTGTTCTGTTTCGAGTTCACCAAATTTGGCCCTATGCAAGGGTTGCGGGGGACGTGGCAAATGCGCTGTGATTGGATATTTAAAGGTCAAACTTAGAATGTACCAAACCATAGTGATGGAACAGGGTTGGGACGTTGATCGATTAATTTGGGACTTATTGATTATTGATAATGATAAATAAATATATTGATTTGATGTTTATTAAAAAATTAAACATTGTATACATATATTTGTACATTTAATTTATAAATATTTATTAGACTGATTTTTAAAATGGATAATCTTAGTATAAAATTGTCTCACAGAATTCTTAGGATCTGTCTTCCTGGATGAGTAGAGTAATCTTACGAGTATGTCTATGTATTTTTCCATAACACCCTTAGCTAAATCAATGACATGATTACAACTTTAGTGATCGAATTGTTGATTTTTTTATTTCATGAAAAATATCATCATTAACAAAACTGCTTATTTATTTATATTTATTATTATTATTATATATATATTATTTTATTATAATTATTATTTATAATTAAGCTTAATTGATTGTGTTAAAACTACAAACTTTCCTAGTATTTTTACAGAAGGTAAAGAAGTATTAAATGTTTTGCGTACATAACTATAAGCCTAGCTGAGTAATTTATGGTGAGTGCAAAAGCTCTTAATTGTGGTAAATATTTTTTTCTAACAATTTTGCCTGATTTTCTAGATTTTGATTTTTCTAAGGAACTTAATGCGTCATTGTTTTCCGCTGCTAATGAATTTTTGTTTTCTAATTCTACCAATAATGACTTCAAAGAAACTATTTGTGTTTTTAGTCTTCTGTTGGAATCACTTAACTTTTTAACTTCTTTATGTTTTTTGTTCATTACGTTGGTTAATTCGATGATTCTTCTACAAAGACGTTTTTAACTGGAATATCAAATGCAGATAGCGTATCAGGTATAGGAGAAAATTTTCTTTTTTGTTTCGTAGGCGTTTCTAAGCAATGACTCTGATTTTTAGGTGTTGGCGGGTTTTTCGCGTCTTTCAGCGGTGAACCATTAATCTAAATCAGAAATACATATTCGTTTTTTTTTAAAACATTACCGATATAGTATTATTAATTAATACACCATACGGCACGTCTTCCAAATTTAGATGTACTTAATAATTATAATAAGATAATACTGAAGTTCATGTAACACTAAATACCAAGTCAAAACAATAATCACATTATAACTTTTACAAGTTTTTTGATTTATAAATCCGTTCAAAATAGCTTGATTTCGACGTGTAACATTTATATAAATATAAGAATATCATGTTTCACTCAACCACTTAATGATATTATTGTGTAATCTACGTTAGTACTAATCTTTAAAAAAAATGCAAAAGTCCATACCAAAACTGGCAAGAATCCAACAGCTTTATACGATTTTTCATAATATTATGACTAAATCACTATTTTTGGTGGGAAACCATTCGTCCCCTCGACATTTTGCGTCGATCCACATCTTTTTTCCTTTCGGGGCATTTAGGAAACCTATAACATATAGGTACCACAATGATACGTCACTATTTTTATAAAATAATATGACTTCGAAAAAAATAATTAAACGATGACCAAACAAATATCGACTTAAAAATCACAACACTATCGATATACGTTCTGTTGTTAGACAAAGACAACTATTGTAATTTACGTAACGAGTGAAAGGGACATTTCAAAAAGACATCAACGGGTGCTTAATTGTTATCACTTTGCACCATTAATATACCAGTATAAGTTGATCTCCGGTGCATTTGAAATAGGTTAACGTGATAAGAATAGAATTTACTTACCAATTAAAATTTATGCCATCTTTTTGATAACTGGATATCTTAGCTGACTTGTCACACCATTTTACTGCACAGGAAGCCATTTGTAATGTATTTTGGATACAAAACTATTTTTAAATTGTCAAGAACTCGGACGTGCCTACGGATCACAAACTTGGTCGATACTGATGTCGTGATTCTTAGCTTCGCTTCGTATGCTAGCTACAGCAAGTATGTGTTGCGCGCGTTTGTGGCCCTGTATGCGGAATCTATTAGGAGGTAATCTATGTCCTCATGCAATCTATGTTTGTAAACTGCCTCCACGATACAGGAGAAAATTCTAGTGTATAACGGGAAAATTCTAGTGGGTAACTTACTTACTTACTTACTTATCTTCACGCACAATCCCTGACGGGGTAGCCAGAGAGAACAGATCGCCAAGTGTCACGATCCTTACAAACCTCTTTCGCTTCTTTCAGATTCATTATCTTCTTCATGCATGCACGTCTAGGTATCCGAGTACTCTTGACCCTACCCTCTTCGAGCAATTTGCTCACATGGTCTTCGAAAGTTAGTCTCGGTCTACCTCGACACCTTTTAATATTAACTTTCGCGCTATATATTTTCTTCACCATTCGGTCTTCACTCATTCGCTCAACGTGCCCAAACCACCGAAGCACGCCCTTATCAATTTTTGTGATAAGGTCATCTTTCAAACCTGCCATATTGCGAATCTCTTCGTTTCGCTTTCGGTCAGCCAAGGTAACGCCGCACATTTTACGAAGAGATCGCATCTCCACTGCATTCAACTTACTTTTATGCTTCTTCTGGCATACCCAGGTTTCGCTGCCATATAACAAAGTCGGTACCAACACTGCGTTATGTATTGCAAGGCGTGCACTCTTCGCTACGCCTTGCCTTTTGACTAACGCAGTCAGGGCACCATTGACTTTGTTCCCGGCAGCGACACGCCTGTCCACATCTAAATCACATCTTCCATCCCGGCTAAAAGCACTCCCCAAGTATACAATTTCATTTACCTGTTTTAGACATTCCTGATTTACCCATATTTCACACTTCGTTCTCTCTTCGTCCCTTTCAAATACCAGAACCTTAGTTTTATTAGCATTCAAACGGAGACCTTTAATTTCACATTCCTCTTTCATACACGTGACTAATGCCTGCAGTTCTGCCTCTGATGGTGCAATAAGCACTGCATCATCAGTATACAGCAGACAATTTACTTTTATGTCACCCAATTTCACACCCAAACAGCTATCTTTCAGCTTCTGTAAACAGCTGTCGAGATACAGTATGAACAGCCAGGAACACATGACACAACCCTGCTTTACGCCCGTTTGGACGTTAAACATGGGTGACAGGTCATGCCCTACCCGCACACAGGCTTTACAGTCACAGTAAAGAGACTGCACAGCCCTTAGCAATCGACCATCCACACCATACCCCGGCAACAGTTCCCACATTTTCTTCCTTATAACCTTATCAAATGCTTTCTCAAGATCCACAAAAGCACAGAAAATCCTCTGGTTAGCAGCCAGAAGCTTTTCCGAGATCATGCGGAGAGAAAACATTTGATCCGTGCATCCTCTTCCAGGTCTAAATCAGCATTGTGCCTCCCATAGAAATCTTTCCGATTTCTCTTGCATCCTACGTGTCAAAACCTTCGAGTAAACTTTACTTGCTAAACTGGTCAAGCTGATCGCCCGATAGCACCCGCAGTCAAAATGTGAACCTTTACCTTTATATAAAGGCACAATGACTGCGGATCGCCAATCATCCGGGACATCCCCCGTCCGCCAGCACAAATTGCACAGCAGATGAAAGCTGTCCCAGACGCGAGGCCCACCATACTTGACCATTTCAGCAGTAACTCTGTCTAGTCCCGCAGCCTTACCACATTTCAAACTTCGAATCGCACGTTCAATCTCTTTCATACTGATGATCTCAGTGTCATCGAGGTCCGGGTCTGGCGTACCAGTCACGGCGTCATCCCCGGATCCCTCACTAAGATCATCACACGCATACATTTCTCTATAAAATTCGCTCCATCGCTGCATGACGTCCGATTTTTCTGAGAGGACATCATTAGTTCTCGAAAGCACTTTGTTCATTCTTAAGGCCGTCGCACCACTTCGGGTCCTTCCAACCTCTTTCCAGAAGAGCTTGGAGTTCTCCTTAAAGTTGTGCGACAACCTTTCGTCCGCTTCCATTCTACACCTTTCACGCACTTCCTCAATCAGTGCTTTCGTGTGAACTTTCTGCAGCCTATATCTTTCTTTCATCTTCTCTCTCATATCCTTATCATTACTAGAGGCCAAGTAGTCTAACCATGCTTTCTTCTTCTTCTTTACAGCTTCTTTCACTTCATCATTCCACCATGCATCTCTTCTTTTACTACTGCCTCTTTTTATTGTTCCACACACTTCTTCCGCTGCACTTACCATTCCATCCCTAAGGTTCTGCCAAGTTCTTTCTACACATTCTTTTCTGCCATCAATGATGTCAAGCTTTTCGGCTACCCTCGCATGATATTTGTCCCTAGTATCCGCTTCCTGAAGCTTCCAGCTTCGGATGCGACAGACCGACTGTGGTTCTGTTACTGCCGTCCGGTAGCGCCAACCCGCGAACAGACCCCTAAATCTAGTAATCACTAGATAGTGATCCGTTCCCAGGTCAGCACCCCTGAACACTCGCGTATCCATCACCTGTTTTCGTAGTCGGTCATCCACCACTAGTGGGTAACGTTTTATAAAAAAAGAAAAAAATTTAGAGCGTCCCTTCTCGATTCTGCCGTTTACATCTGCAATATAGATTTGCTTTGTTACTCTTTCTACGTTCATTCTTTCTAACCAAACCACCGAAGCATTCCTTTCTTAATCCTGGTCACAACAGCAAACCACACTTTTCACACAATTTCTCACCCTGTTATTCAGATTTAGCTTTAACATACCCCTTAATGAACGCATTTCTACAGCATTTATTCTACTTTCGTGTTTCTTCTGCCACACCCAACTTTCACTACCATACATTAAAGTAGGGACTTATCCAGCATTGTGAAATACGTGTCTTTTTTGACACATTCTGACTTTCCACAATAGAGTGTAGAGCCCCATTTATTTCCTGCGTTCACTCGTCTTTCTATAACCTTATCATATTTACCTGCTACTGCTTGCTCATCCGACTCCCTTTTTATTATTTCACATATCGTTATACTTTCTTCTCTTTCAAAAACCATCACTCTCGTCTAACTTGAGTTTCACACTTTCAGTCCCGTTTCTTTTAATGACCTGTTCTTTAATGTAACCATCATTTGCATCTCGGCCGCCGACGATGCAAATATGACTTGACCATCGACGTACAAAAGGAATTTGACGGTTAACTCACCCATTCTTAACCCACATTCTTCAACTTTTAAAGTTTCCAAACAACTGTCCATAAATAAGTCAAACAGCCACGGGGAAGCCACACAGCCATGTCTGACACCTTTTTAAATGCCAAACCAGTCCGAGTAGATCCCGTTGATCCTGACAGAAGCACTAGAGTCCTTATAAAGAGACCTCAATGTCTGTATCAACCCATCGCTCAACCCAAATGAGTTCAGTGTTTGCCATAACACATCCCTGTCCACTCTGTCATAAGCCTTTTCCAAGTCTATGAACGCACAAAAAACTGTCTGGTTTTTGGCTAAAAACTTCTCCGCGATCATGCGCATGAAAAAGTCTTGATCCTACACTCAATTCCCTTCTAAATCCAGCTTGCACAACCCAAATTATTTCATCAGTTTCTTTTATAACTCTTTCAATTAACACCTTAGCATGCAGTTTACCTACAATGCTAAGGCTGATACCACGGTAGTTGTACAGTCCTGCTCTGACGATTTTCCCTTAAACATTGGGACTATAACAGCTTTGCACCAGTGTTCCTGTTCCCAACATAAATTAAACGATGTTTACAGCAGGCTTGTCACCACTCCCTCTCCAGTCCGTAGCATTTCGAGTGATACCATATCACATCCGGCTGCCTTATTTGCTTTCATGCTTTTTATTGCTTTCATTATTTGATCTATACTTATCTCCCTACCTCTCCAGTTCTTTCGGAAACAAAAATTAAATGAACTAGAAAGTTCATTTAATTTAAACGTCTCTTCACTCATAAACACGCTTTCAAAGTATTTTTTTCCATCTGCTTAAACTCGAAACTTTGTCATTCAGCAAACAACCATACTTGTCACGTATAGTATTTATTTCTAGGCTGTTTTAAGTTTCCCCTGGCAGTTCTTACGAGTTTCTAGAACATTATTATATGACTGAAAGTTATCAGATATTCTTCTATGATTCTTATCCGTTCTTTCTTGCTTTTTCCTTACAACTACTTCTTTTAATTTCTTATTTAGAAGTCTAAAGACGGCCTTTTTTCTCAATCTCATCATTCATACCGCCAGAATCACCAGCTTTGGCTGCTAGTAAATCTAGCCATGCTCTCTTCTTTGCTTCAACTTTTCGTCAACTTTTCTTAAACCATTCGTACCTCTTCACCCCACTATAACGTATTATTTTTCCTTTCATTCGTTCTCTTACTTATACTACATACTTTGGTGGCTGCAGCATCCACCAAACCTTTCTTAACATCCCACACAGCCTACAAGTCTAAATCATTCATCCAAACCACTAATGCTCAAAGTTCAAAAACTTTATTAAACTAAGTTTATATAAAAAGGGTTATATAATATTAAGGAATTTATGGATGATAATAACCCCTGGAAATGAGGTGATCGCTACCAAGCTATTTCTAATTTGTTGTGTTGTTAATTTGTGTAATATCATGATTGTAAACTGTTATTTAAAAAAAAGTCCCGCTGGATTTCTTGCTGGTTCTTCCCAGGACAGAGGTTTTTTCCGAACCAGTGGTAATCAAACAAAAGAGTGACTTTCAATAAGTATTATTTATAATCTATATTGAATAAAAAAGTTTCTGTTTCTGTTTCAATATTTTCCCTCAGTCTACATTTATACTTCCATTTCACACCTTCATATTGTAACCTTTCTATTCTTATACGCTGTAACGCAGTGGTAGACTCAGATGTCCGATGCCGACCACGTCTGAACATACCATTAATTCGGCATAAGACCAAGTAATGATCCGTCGTTACGCTAGACCCCCGGAAAACCCTTGTATCTGCCACTCATTCTTTCATCCACAATTATGAAATCTATCAAGCTTTTATCATCACCTCTTTCCCATGTATACATGTAAATATTCTCATGGTGAAAGAAAGTGTTTGTCACAAAAAGATTATTTTCCATATGTATGGTGAGAAAGCTTTTACCATTTTTATTTATACTTTCATCACCAAATGTTTCAATATCCTTTAATTTTCATCCTAACACTTCCATTAAAATCTCCTTACATAGGAATATTTTTATTGTCCTTACATTTCATTAACACCATCCTTACCGTGTCTCAAAACTGTTCTCGGATGTAAGTGGACTTAGACATGTCTGGGGCGTACACCCCTAGAACAAACAACTTCTTTAAGCCCACTTTCATTTGTATCCATAGCAGCCTCGGGCTTACACATTCATACTCTTCCAAACATTGACCCATTGTTTCTGAAAGGATGATACCGACTCCCTGGTATGCCCACTCGGTCTTGTCCACACCAGACCAGGAGGCGGTATACATGTCACGTGCCCACTGCATATCCTTTTTCTTTCGTTTCGTGTCATTTGCACATAACACATTCCTCTATCCGGGAGACAACGTGACGGGTTGCGAACCTCGTTGCCGGTTTTACTCCCGGAGATTCTACGTACCCCTGCCCCATAGAATGGGTGCCGGGAACTCGGGCTCATCTCTTTTATTTTATGCCTCATGGTGCAAACTAGGGGGTGTTAGATTTTACGCCGCTAACATACGGCGAGTAGCCGTGTCTGTTCTTTAAGCTTTGTCGCTCGTTTATCATCATCCGGGGAACACGTGGATGGTGGAAGGTGGTCGAAGCCTACGGACGCGGGCAACTCATCCCCCCATTATTATAAAAATAATGGAATGTTGTGTGTTGTGTGTGCAGAGAAGCGGTACCAGGACGAGCGCTACATGCTGCGGCACCTGCGCACGACACACACGGGCTCGCAGCACGCCTGCCCGCTGTGCCACAAGCTGCTCACCAGCGCGCCCGGCCTGCGCCACCACCTGCTCACGCATAGCGCCACCAACCTCTTCCACGTCGGTCCACACGTCACTTTGTTTGTTCACTTACGTGCCACTGGCTAAAAGCCCTGCGGCCGCCACTTCCTATACCGTAATTGAATTGAAACTTCTTTATCGACGTAGTGGAGAAATTTAATACTGTTTTTATAAAAAGTCACGCTTTCTTGTAACGTTTCATCGCTGGGGCTGCATGAGTAATAAAATAAAAGAAAAATGATATGTCGTAAAGAAGTTTCACTTCGTACGTGTGTACAAAATTACACTCACATTTTTTTTTAATTTGTGGCATTGGATTTTTATAGAAAAGTGGGCAAACAAGTATACGGCTCACCTGATGCTAAGTGACTACCGCCGCCCATAAATAACTGCAACACCTGGGAAATTGCAGGTACGTTGACGGCCTTTTAGAAAGGAGTAAGCTCTTAGGCTACAAGGCCTTCAATCTACGCGTAGTCGTATACTGAAGTTTTTCATCTAGCAACTGTCGGCTGGGTTAAGCTTTCGACAAAATCTCGTATCTATCTATTTTGAAGAGTTTGGTGAACAAAATACAAGGCAGATTAGGCCTCATGGTTTAAGACTTCTGCCTACCTTAATTAGCGAATCTTAATAATAATATCTTAATCTGACAACAACGACTTTCTGGACGACATCATCATACATTCAGTTATGGGACAGGCAAAGATATCGAACTACTGATTTTAAGAAAGTGTATTATCTAATGTTAAGGTAGCCGTGTAGAAGTCTATCAATCCGTTGTGTGCCATGTGTGTCGTGAGGCGACTGTGGGAAATATAAAGAAACTATTATGGTTTGCAATAGATGGCGGTATAATCAACTCGTTCGTAGGATCATTTCTGTAGTAAGTTCTTCACGAGACTTTCACACTATGTGAGATCTAATTCCTTTATGCCTGACGTAAAATACGCAGACAGGCGACGGTCATGACGATTCAGGCAAATCCTCCCTATAATACTTAGGCCCATATCCAGCAGTGGAATTTTAAAGGCAGATGAAATAGAAAAGAAATATTTTTAGTTTTAGAGTAGATATAATTCTAATAACACTTTCTCATTTTTTATCTCCTTTTGTTTAGTGCAAATGCTGCAAGAAATCCTACGCCATCAAGAGGACTATGATAAAACACCTCCGCAGGCGTCATGGATTAAAAGGAACAGAGATCAATATAAAAGATTTCTTCAAGAAGCTCGATCCACGAGAATGTCAACTGGGATTGGATGAAGAAACGATGACCAGTATTTTTGGACCGCCTAAGAAAATAATGACCGATATCCTTATAGGAGATTATGTGACTATCACTAATAACTTTAATAGTAACAAAAGAGGTAATCAGATTACCGAAGGAGATGGAGAAGACGAACAATCTGCAGAAGAGATTGAATGTAAATACAACATAGAGAACAGCAATGAGAGCAACGCAGACGAAACTAACAAAGAGATAGAAAATGTATGCATAAAACAAGAGCCTATGACGACGGAAGTTGAATTGGAACCGACCGATTTTGTTAGTGTCAAAATTGAACCTTATGACGAAAATGATTCCAGCTAAAAACCATTTTAATGTTTTAAGGCTTTCAGAAATAAAATCATTTTTAATTTTTCTGATAAAGATGACTTAGAATTCTGCAAAATTTGATAGTAACTGATTACTTGGTTCAAATATAGATGTTTAATAGTAAAATATTTGTAAATATTCCCTTATAATCAAACATTTTCTCATATCGAACATTGAGACAGGATTTTCAATCCCCCTATATGTAGGTTTAGGCTTTGTAAATATTGACGCATGCTTGGAACAATATTCGAAGATAATTTTTTGCATTTAAATCTGCAAATAAAAAACATACAATAGTCTGAAATATCTATGCATCAGATTTGTGGCGATGGATGTCAATATTCACAACAAATGAAACAGTTATATAGCATAATTATATAACTGTTTAAAATAATAGCTTAGCATGATATTTATTTATAATTGCATCAAATTTTCTAATTTGGATTTTGGATTCATTGAATAAAATGTCACATTCTACAGAAATAAAATTAATTGATACTGCACTAAATAAATCTTCCGTTAATTTTTGCATTTGTGTACTTAATTATTACAAAATAAAATAAAAGAAAATGCAAATTTCACTTAAGTTTATATATGTTGCTTTCTTTGAAATTTTATACCCAGTCCCAGCATTACAAGTATTATTGTTAAGATTAAAACATTAGTGAAATATTTTATAAGTTGGCATGATCTTTATCAACTAATTATGCGAGACTGGTATGGAGATGTCTAAAGATGTCATTAATCAAATTTACTAGTGTGCTTTTTTACATTAACTGTTATTATAAAATGTTGTCAGTTATTCTGCTGTTGTGCAATTTTTCATGCAATATAATAATGATAATGCATGGCATAACATAATGATCAGTAACAATTATTGACCTAATACTAAATGGACTTCGGGTCCTCGTTCAAAAGTATCCGAGACAAAAGAGTTCCAAAACGCAAAAAGAGTACCAATCGCGCGCCACTCTTCGTTTTGTCGACCGACTTAATACTCGTCCAAAATGGCGTACTGTATTGTGGAAACGGCGAAAAACTACCTTAGCAAAGTGAGAAAAGAGAATGGTTTATCATATTTTCTGTAAGGACTTATTATTTATTCATATAAAAGCAATATTTTTTATAAAAATAATTTAATTTAATTGTCGCTAAAAGCTTATATGGTGAAAATAGTCTAAGACTCTAAGTTAATGGACTGATAAAGCAGTTTTTTTTAATGATAATATAGTTTGAATTAGGATGTTATAGTTTTTACATGTACCTTCGCTTATATAGGTTGACTCGGGACAGATTTTTCATGAATTTTGTTCTAGACCCGCTGTCCAATGTCAATGAATGAACTTCGTAATTTACAGACATAGGAATGTCAGAGTGAATATTTTATTTAATGATTATAAGAATAAGAAAAGGGAATGAAAGTGAACGCAAGTAAGACGAAAGTTATGGTTTTCGAAAGAGAAGAAAGTAAAACGATATGTGAAATAAGAATAGAAGGGGAGTTGGTCGAGCAAGTAGATGAGTATGTGTATTTGGGATGTGTATTTAGCAGGGATGGTAGACATGATAAGGATATAGAACGACGAGTGAATGCAGGAAATAGAGTGAATCTACACCCTATTGTGAGAAGTCAGAATGTGTCCAAAAGGGCACGTATGGCAATTCACAGTGCTCTGTTAGTTCCTACTTTAATGTATGGTAGTGAAAGTTGGGTGTGGCAGAAGAAGCACGAGAGTAGAATAAATGCTGTAGAAATGCGGTCATTAAGGAGTATGTTAGTGATGAATCTGAATGACAGAGTGAGAAATTGTGTAATAAGAGAAGAGTGTGGTTTGCAAGATGATGTTGTGACCAGGATTAAGAAAGGAATGCTTCGGTGGTTTGGTCGTGTAGAAAGAATGAATGAGGAAAGAGTGACAAAGCAAATTTATGTTGCAGAGGTGAACTGCAGAGTCGGGAAGAGACGCCATAGGCGAAAGTTTATCGACCAAATTGGCGATATATTGAAAATGGGCCAGATCAAGAGTACCTTTAACCGACGAGCGTGTATGCGTAGGTATATGGATGTGGAGGAAGCGAGAGAGGTGTGTCAGGATCGTGCCAAATAGAAGTCCATCTTTTTAAGTCCATAGTCTCTGCCTAACCCTCTGGGTGACAGGCGTGAGTGTTTATGTTATATGTTATGATTATGAGAAACAGAATATTGTTGCTCGACAACTTAAACGTTAAAGTAACGGGAAATACAATACACTTGTCTGCACACTTTATTAATTATAATTACACATTTACACTTTAAAATTATTACAACAGTCAAAAAAGGAATATTTACAGGTTTTTAAAATACAAAGAACTGTAAAGTTGAGTGGCAATTGCACTAACACAAATTGTTGACATAATAAATAATAAAAAAAAAAATGTAAAATCTAAACAAAATGCCATTTTCGGATCCTAATGAAGTATTGAAAACATGTTTCAAATATGTATGCAATTTGCAACTGAAAACGTTAAAATATAAAAATAAAGCATGGACTTTATGATGTGCACTGAAGGATTATAATCGTAAAGTTAGCAAATCGTAATCACCATGAAACTAACATCTGACAAGCGCCCTTTCTCTCTCACATATGTCAATGCTTTTGCATATTTGCTTGTACGCACGATAGCAAAATAACAGTATAACAGTTGTACATCGCATAAGAATAATGCATTAAATTATATGTTAATTTAATAATGACCACCTCTAGAGCTCTTATGTAAAAATACTAATTAATTAAAAACTTTTCGCATATATTATGATACATCCATAAGGCTACATTTTCATTACACCATAGCTTCCAGTCACTAAGGGCTCAACGTTATTTTCAATGATTTCTGCATGATGATGTCACGGAAGATATAAACGTACCTATAAGCATTTATGTGCTATATTGTGTAGTATATGTAGTATATTGCTGTTATACATAAATATTAATGTTAGCCCAATTGGTAGGGTGCGGACCGCGAGCTCAAAAAGTTGTGGGTTCGAATCCGCTATTCGACTATTACTGTCTTGAAGAATTCCAAACACAAGCATTTTAAGTTTACCAGACGTGGTTAACGGGAACTTAAGTAATGTTAACAGCATTGCTAGTTAATTTAAAAAAAATGTATAATAAAAGTAACCTTAACTATTTCACTGTCCTTAAGTCATATATGAACATTTCAATTGTTTAACTATTGTGTCTTTTATTCGGACAGGCAAATTGTTAAACATTTTTAGAATATATATCTTAGACGTGTAATGAAAATCTATATTTCAGTTAAAAACCTTAAAATTTATTATTAGGTCGGAGAAAAAGTTTCTTCGTATTTTTATACAAATTAAAGACATTTTTTTTTCGAAGTTTAATTACATTATAATTATAATATATATATATATATATATATATATATATATATATATATATATATATATATATATATATGCCAATTGTTCGTTAACTTGTTGCTATCTTGTAGGTAGTGACATTATCCCGTTGTCGTGGAAATCTTGGGATTTTTGATCAAAATAATGCGACAAGTAGTTTTGACAGTCCTTTCTTGATGTTAACTTAACACTACCAAAAAAATTCTGAAGAGACCGAAACAGGTGAAAATCTGAGGGTGCAAGGTCAGCGCTATATGGTAAAAGCTCATAATAAACGATGCCCTTCCAATCCCACCATACACACAGCATCACCTTTTTGCGTGTTAATACGGGTTTCGCTACAATCTGTGGAGCTTGACTACCCTTTGCCATGATCTTTATTGCACGTTCTTGTCGTAGGTGATTCATTTTTCATCACCAGTGATCAATCTTTTAAAAAATGGTTCGGTTTCATTACGTTTCAATAGAGAATCGCAAATCAGTACACAATTCGTTAGGTTTCTTTCAGTGAGCACGTGTGGTACCCAAATATCGAGCTTTTATGTATAGCCAGACTGTTTTTGTCAAAACTGTTTTATGGTCAATCCTTAATTGCTCGGCTATATCATACCTACTAATATGCCAATCTTGCTCTACTATTTCAAAAAATGGCATCGCCTTTTTCCGTATGAGGACGACCAGAGTGAGCTGCATCTTTGACATCAAAATCCCCGGATTGAAAACGCTTGAACCAACTTTGTACTACTCTTACTGATACTGCATTAGGTCCATAAACATCACAAACTTTTTTTACGGTTTGAGTCGTATTATTCTCTTTTTGTAATATAACTTCAGAATGTATCGAATTTCTTCGTTAGATTCACTCATTTTGGCAGACAGAAAAACAATTGAAAAATGGCGGGAAAGTGTTTTTTTACTCTTTTATGTTTCTTTTTCTTAATATCCTGTGTGTACTGATATTAAAACCAGCCAGATACAAATACGAAGAAACATTTTTCCCGACCTATTACTTATGTGATATGTGTGTAAATATCACTGCATTCAGCTTATATTGACAGAATTTTTATTTCATTTGATTTGTAATTGATCTTTTATTTTAGTACGTCGTATTGGCATAGTTACACTAGTGAAGATACACTAGCACCACTCCAGTCATTTATTGAATCTCTAATACTTTTGAATGGACTCTTTTTCAGTTCAAACCTTTATGTAACGGTCTTCCTTATGTCAACACTAGCGGTTTTATTACAAAATATTGTTTATTGATAGCCTTGGGTTAATAGGTAGGTAGTTTAAAGAAGTCTTTGTCACGAAAGAAGTCCCTTGGCCACGACAGTAGTCTTCGCGAACTTTGACATTTCCCGTCTAATTACGTTCTTGGCATTTTATTCCGCATTATTTCCATAAGGCTATTGAAACAGACTAGATTAAACTTGAGACTAATTATTAAGTACTTTTTGTACCTAATAAGACGGTAGGAAAGAAGGTAATAAGGCCGTTAGTACAAAAAATGCTTTATATTTAGTCTCTGGTTTAAACTAAAATCTGTTTCACAAAAGAAGTCCCGCGGAATCCAGCGAACTAAAATGGTAATTAAGTAGTTTTACAGAATATGTCAAATTTTGCGAGACAGTGGCGCCACGGCTAAAGGACTTGTTAAAACAGTTTAAACCTTAAGATTACCAATAAAACGCTTTTTGTATTATGACGTTTAATTATATATTAGATGTTTAATTGTTAAGTATAACCTGTCGTGAGAAATTATTATTTAAGGTCAGTGCTATTCGTTACACTATTTTTCAATCAAATTGCTTGAGATGATAAATATAATATATGTCTTAAATAGAAATATAACTATTATTAAATGCAATCAAGATAAAAAAATACATTTTTACACTTAGGTGGTGAATGTCATTTGACATCAATCTAAATAGGTTCTTTATTACTAATATTGTACAATTTAATGGTGGTCAGTTAAATAAAGTATTATTAGCATTATGTTTGTCTATATTATTTTTCTTTATTGAAGAGTTTGCTAGTCTAAATTAATAAATGACAAAAAGAAAGACGTAAACCTCAAGTTACACTTATTTTTTAAAAAAAAATCTTAAACATGTCTGTTAAACAACCCAAGAATTCATAGTACCAAAAATCCGTACACGTGAAAAAACGATCACCTTCAAGCACCAGCATTTACGACTGATGGCGGATCTAGTCTATGGCTCCGTCCCTGACAAAGTTTCGACCTTGGAGAGTTGGAAGAGCGACGCATCGTAATATCAACACTTCCTCCCGCTGCCCCATTTTCACGGTGGTAAGTGGATGCTGTGGCCAATAGACATCAACATCTATAAAATCGGTTATGACCCAAAATGCAGATGCGTTGTTAACCCTGAGGACTAAAATAGAATGTCTCGTTTCCAGTAAAAAGGCTCTTTACTCACCATACGTAACAGGAGCATTAAACTGCTTTAATTATGCTGATATTCTGTGATAACGTATAAAACCACCTCTGGTGCGGCGGTAAGGGGAGAGAATACTGCTCTCGCCGTAGTTTCACCAACACAACCGAAAGCCGCCTCGTTCCGACCGTTCACCTCGGGCCAATGGTGAAATAAGTCTCAAGTTTTAGCCGTTTAGGTGTCTTTTTTAAAGAACTGAAGTGAGAAACGAATTTACAGTCCACCTGATAGTACGTGACTGATGCAGTCCAGATGTTCCGATCGGAACACAGCGGTGCAAGAAAAAAAGATAGAGGGTGGTACCTAATCAGACATATTCCTAGTCAGATTAGCAGTCCTACCTCCTAGTAAAAAAAAGCCTTTAGAGACTAGTGTCTTCAGCTTTACACAAAGTTGAGTTGTAGTCGAATATAGCAAAAACTGCAACATAAAGCATCAGCATATTGTCAGGATTTTTTTGTCAAAATATACTTCAAATTAGGCTGTATGGGCTTAGATTCATTTGCCTTTAAATAACAATAAATATCAGCTGAGGTATGACAGATTGACATATTTTTAAATAGACTTTGAACTTGGTATGAGTACTCAAGTGATTTTTATGATTTTATAACTTAAAAATACACTCATATCTTCAGAAAATAGTAACATATAAATAAAATACCCACATGCTTTGTGAAAATCGATTCTGTAAAGAAATTCATCATGTATAACCCTGCCAGTACAGTTCGACGGATTGATGTTTTGATTCGTATTTTAGGTGGTCGCAAAAAGTTTTTAAGTGTGAATTATGTTAGAGCATACTCTAGTGAAGGTAAAGTGACTATCGGTGATGTAACAAAAGAAATAATAAAGCCCAAAAAAGTCGAATATGTTCCTCGGAAGTACAGTAAGTACCTATAAGTAAATAAAAATATAGTTACAATTTTAATACACTTGCGAAATAGAGGTTAGTTGCTAAGGCCCGCCACATACATACAGAATTCCGTTTCGGGATTCCGTTTCGGAATTCCGAACGGGTCGGCCACACACATACGGAATCTCGTTTTGCTCGCAAAATTTCGAACGGAAAACTACCGTACGTGTAGGGTCATATATTTTATATGAATTTGCTGCGTTCGGAATCTCGAATCGGAATATCGAAACGGAATCCCGAAACGGAATACCGTATGTATGTGGCGGGCCTAAAGCAGGAAAAAAATTGATGCGATAAAAATATTTGTAAAAATAAGAAGTTATTGGATATCACTTTCGAATAGCTATTTGCAATATTGTAATGTAATGTTTTTTCGTTGTTTTAGTATCATTGGAGGGTTCTGATTTGAAATATCTCTCTCAAAGTACACTTAGAAATTTACGATGGATGATGCAAAAAGATTCCTTAGGCCAGGACATGTTTCTTCTTGGCAGGCCTGGTCCCAGCAGGTAAAAGACTGTGTAAATTTTAAAATAAGGTTGAATGAAAAACATTCATGGAAGCTAACTTTAGTGTTGTGAAAATGTCTATTAATGTAACTCTGTGCCTTGAGGTAATATATATGTTCTGGTCTATTATTTATTGTGTAGTGATAGTGTAAGAATATTCACTACCCCGTATAATCCCGTGGGTGTCGTAAGAGGCGACAGAGGGAAACAAACCAGGAGATGGCCAGCAGCATCTTTCTAATACCAACTAAAAACACAAACTGCAGTTGCCAAACTGCTTACAAAGCATGGCAACTATAGCAAATGAGGCAATCTACAAGACAGACCTATGTTCAGCAGTAGACATAAATAGGCTGAAATGGTCCTTATTTGCTGTGTAGTGGCGGTCAAGAATATCCACTACCCCATATCCTCCCGTGGGTGTTGTAAAAGGCGACAAACTGAAACAGGCAGAAGATGGGCAGCAGCATCTCCCTGATAATAGCCAAAATTATAATAAAAAAACTGCGGTTGCCAACCCGCTCGCCAAGCGTGGCAACTATGGCAAATACCCCCCAATGACTAAAGCAACAAACAGACGGCCCCCAGTCCCCGGCGGCTCCGCTATTCCTGGCTACGGTGGCGACCAAGGTAACGGCGGGGCAGGGGGTGCTAAGAATCTCCGGTGGAGGTTCGGTTGCCACCTTAGACGACTCGACCTGGCAACGTACAACGCACGCACCCTGAGGACTGACGAGAAGATCGTGGAGCTGGAAGAAGAGATAGACAAGTTGCGCTGGCATATTATAGGATTATCCGAAGTCCGAAGAGAGGGGGAGGACACGGTAATCCTCGAATCCGGCAACTTGCTCTATCACCGGGAGGGCGACCATCTGTCCCAAGGAGGTGTCGGATTTATCGTCCACAAGTCTCTCGTTAACAACGTTGTAAAGATCGGGAGTGTGTCGACGAGGGTTGCGTACCTTATACTCAGAATCACCAAACGGTATTCGCTGAAGGTCATACAGGTTTACGCACCAACCTCGGCACACCCCGATCAGGAGGTGGAGGAAATGTATGAGGATATCTCTAGAGCCATGCATTCCTCCAAAACCCAATATACGGTGTTAATGGGAGACTTCAATGCAAAACTAGGCACAAGAGAGAACGGTGAGCTGAAAGTAGGGAAATTTGGAATAGGGCAACGGAACCCAAGGGGCCAGCAGCTGGCCGACTTCATGGAGAAAGAGGGACTCTTTATGATGAACTCTTTCTTCCAGAAGCGGCCCCATAGGAAGTGGACCTGGTCGAGCCCCGACGGTTCGACAAAAAATGAGATTGACTTCATTATGACGACCAGACGACAACTGTTCAGTGATATCTCCGTGATCGCGAGGGTGAAAACTGGTAGCGATCACCGAATGGTTAGAGGCACACTGAACCTAAACGTTAAGTTGGAGAGGTCTCATCGAATGAAGTCAACGCTCCGTCCCCCTCGTGCTCTAATCCAAAGTCCCGAAACCTTTCAGCTCGAGTTACAAAACCGTTTTCAGTGCCTAGAAGACTGCAATGAAGTGGACGATTTGAATGACAAGCTCGTGGAAACTGTCCATGCGGTCGGAGCTAAGTTCTGCAAGACCCGCCGCAGAAGAACACAAAAACTCTCCGATCACACTCTTAATCTCATGGCTGTTAGACGGGAGATGAAGCTAGATTCTTCAACAGACTTGACTGCATACAGGCATCTGAACAGACAGATCTCCAAATGCATGCGGCGGGACTTACGCAACTTCAATACAGCTCGTATTGAAGAAGCGATAGAGCGGAACCAAGGCTCCAAAGTCTTTGCCAGAGATCTGTCTGCCAGAAAGAGCCAACTGTCAAAGCTGAAGACCGAATGTGGCAGCATCGTTTCCGGGACACCTGAGATTTTGAGTGAGATTGAGAGGTTCTATGGGCAGCTGTACACGTCATCGTTGGAGCCACACGCAAGTGTGAGTAACGATCCAAGAGCGAGTCTCATCCGACACTATTCCGAAGATATCCCGGACGTCAGTCTGAGCGAGATTAGAATTGCTCTCCAGCACCTTAAAAACGGTAAGGCCCCAGGCGAGGATGGAATTACAGCGGAGCTTCTGAAAGCGGGTGGAAGACCGGTACTTGAAGTCCTTCAGAGGCTCTTTAATTCCGTCCTCCATGGTGGCATTACACCGGAGGCGTGGAGCAGAAGTGCGGTGGTCTTGTTCTTCAAGAAAGGTGACAACGCTCTCTTGAAGAACTACAGACCGATTTCCCTTCTGAGCCGCGTCTACGTGCTGTTTTCATTACGAATCGTCTCGCGCGCAGACTTGACGACTTCCAGCCTCCCGAACAAGCCGGTTTCCGAAAGGGCTTTAGCACCATAGACCACATACATACCCTTCGGCAAGTTGTACAGAAGTCCGAAGAGTACAATTTGCCACTATGTCTGGCATATGTGGACTATGAGAAAGCCTTTGATTCCGTCGAAATTTGGGCGGTGCTGCAGTCCCTTCAGCGGTGCCAAGTTGACTGTCGGTATATCGAAGTGTTGAAGTGCTTGTACAGTAGGGCTACGATGGCTATCCGAGTACAGAACCAGAGTACGAAACCTATCCAAATGCAGAGAGGTGTAAGACAGGGTGACGTCATATCCCCGAAATTCTTCACCGCTGCATTGGAAGACGTTTTCAAGCTTCTGGACTGGAAAGGATACGGTATCAACATCAATGGCGAGTACATCACTCACCTTCGATTTGCCGACGATATAGTCCTTATGGCAGAATCGCTGGAGGGCCTAAGCACTATGCTCAATGACCTCAATAGTGTTTCCCAACGGATAGGTCTTAAGATGAACATGGACAAAACAAAGATCATGTTTAATGTCCATGTCACACCTATGCCGGTAGTTGTTGGGAGCACTAAGCTCGAAGTTGTTGACGAGTATGTTTACCTGGGACAAATAGTCCGACTAGGTAAGTCCAACTTCGACCGAGAGGTCAATCGACGGATTCAACTCGGCTGGGCAGCGTTCGGGAAGCTACGACACATATTCTCGTCAGACATACCTCAAAACCTTAAAACGAAATTGTACAACCAGTGCGTGTTGCCAGTGATGACTTACGGAACTGAGACGTGGTCCTTCACTGCTGGCCGTATGAGGAAGCTCAAGGTCGCTCAGCGAGCTATCGAGAGGGCTATGCTCGGAGTTTCTCTGCGTGATAAACTTAGGAATGAGGATATCCGCAGTAGAACCAGAATAACCGACATAGCCCAACGAATTAGTAAGCTGAAGTGGCAGTGGGCCGGCCATATAGCTCGAAGAACCGACAACCGATGGGGAAGAAAGGTTCTCGAGTGGCAGCCTCGTACCGGTAGGCGAAGTGTAGGGCGTCCCCCCACGAGATGGAGTGACGACCTGGTAAGACATGCAGGAAGTCGATGGATGAAGGTGGCTCAGGACCGTGCTTTGTGGCATTCTTTGGGGGAGGCCTATGTTCAGCAGTGGACTTGTGAAGGGCTGTAATGATGATGATGATGATGGTCCTTATTTACAAACTTGCTAATTGCAATGTTAACTGATACAATAATAAGTTGTTACTTTTTATCATGAGTGAATTTGCATTATAATATTTTTACCATTATTATACTTAATACAGCTTAGTAAATATATCTTTGAAGTTCTAAATTATTTATATAATGTAATTTATGTGGTGCTTCAATAAGCAAGATGAAGTAAAAAGGAAGGATAATCATATAGATGTCATAAATTATGTTGATAAAAATTATAAATAAGATTGCATAAATTATGTAAAATCGTTAGTTGTTTTTTAAGAAATTACATAACTTATTTGACCATTAATATTTCTATAAAATATTTTAGGCGAAATGTCGCATTACAATACTTGGAACTGACTCAAAGGGAATTAGAATATGTGGCTCTGTCACGTGACACAACGGAGGCTGACCTAAAGCAGCGAAGGGAGATACAAAACTCTACTGCCAAGTATTTTGATCAGGTATTGTAGTATTTACTCTGTAGTAATTACAAACTTGATCAATAAAAAAATTACCATTGTACACTAATCATCTTCACTTGAATCATCTGTCAACATCTAAGTAGAAGAAAGATGATTTGCAGATATATATATATATATATATATATATATATATATATATATATATATATATATATATATATATATATATATATATATATATATATATTCAGTTTCTTTACTTTAACAAAACATTTTTTTTAGTAATTTTTAATATGGAATTTTTACAACTTAGAAAGAACAATATTTTTTACTAATGATATTTCCAGAGTGCAGTACGAGCTGCAATAGAAGGTCGAGTCCTTGTTATAGATGGTATAGAAAAAGCAGAACGCAATGTGCTGCCTGTATTAAATAATTTGCTGGAAAATAGGGAAATGCATCTGGAAGATGGACGGTTTTTGGTACCTGCAGCGCGGTATGACAAGTTAATACAGGTAAATACAAAACTAAATTGATCCATATTATGTAAAAATATCCTATTTTCTTAATATGTTTTATTTTTGATTCATACCAAATTTTTCAATTTATGTAATTACTGATATATGTGTGTATTCCTGGGTGCCACAGAGATTTTAAAAAAATCAACGAATCTCCATTGCAGCACCATTTGAAAAATGTGTTATTATTTTATTGTTTAATTTTAATTCTAATTTTTCTGGTTAATTACTCTGCACTTACAATATAATTCACCTCCAATTTTGAAAAAAAATGCTTCCAAATTGCTGTCACTAATTGCTTTCCACTTTCTAGTACATAATTTGGGTGAGAAACCCCTTTGTGCCCCCCCAGTAGGGTGTTACACTATTTGTACAAAGAATGTGCTTCTGCCAAAATATGATTGTATTTTTATTGTGATATCTTTAGTAAAAGATTCAAATTATTCTTAATATCTTATTACTTTGGAAGTCTTATAAAATGTATTTAAATGTAATTATTAAATTAGTAAAAATATATATTATGTGACACAAAAATTCACACAGTGAGCACGCAGTCCACCAAATGGTAAGTGAATACTGTAGCCCATAGACATCTACATTTTTATCTTCAATTAAGAATCAAAATGCAGATGCTTTGTTACCCCTGAGGACTGAGATGAAATGTCTCGTTTTCAGTAAAAAGCGTCTCCGGTTCTCTGCACTCACCATACGAAACACAGCAGCATTACGCTTCTATTTTACGCTCGTATTCTGTGAGATTGTGGTCCTTTCCGGTAGAGTCTACCCATTCGTGCTACAACCACAATATAGCTGCAGCATGCCTCTACCACATACATTTGTTTTATTATACAAATTCTCTGTATGGCAATGCAAATTGGATACGATAGAAAACTTATCTTTATATGGCGTATGATACGTCATTTAACTTTTAGGCTACATACATATATAATAACCCACACTGAATCCTTGTCTTTGTTTTACATGGGGAAATACCTTCGCATACACACTGAGTCATCACTGGCAACACGCACTGGTTGTACAATTTCGTTTTCAGGTTTTGAGGTATGTCTGACGAGAAGATGTGTCGTAGTTTCCCGAACGCTGCCCAGCCGAGTTGAATCCGTCGATTGACCTCTCGGTCGAAGTTGGACTTACCTAGTCGGACTATTTGTCCCAGGTAAATATACTCGTCAACAACTTAGGGCTTAGTGCTCCCAACAACTACCGGCATAGGTGTGACATGGACATTAAACATGATCTTTGTTTTGTCCATGTTCATCTTAAGACCTATCCGTTGGGAAACACTATTGAGGTCATTGAGCATAGTGCTTAGGCCCTCCAGCGATTCTGCCATAAGGACTATATCGTCGGCAAATCGAAGGTGAGTGATGTAGGTACTCGCCATTGATGTTGATACCGTATCCTTTCCAGTCCAGAAGCTTGAAAACGTCTTCCAATGCAGCGGTGAAGAGTTTCGGGGATATGACGTCACCCTGTTTACACCTCTCTGCAATTGGATAGGTTTCGTACTCTGGTTCTGTACTCGGATAGCCATCGTAGCCCTACTGTACAAGCACTTCAACACTTCGATATACCGACAGTCAACTTGGCACCGCTGAAGGGACTGCAGCACCGCCCAAATTTCGACGGAATCAAAGGCTTTCTCATAGTCCACATACGCCAAACATAGTGGCAAATTGTACTCTTCGGACTTCTGTACAACTTGCCGAAGGGTATGTATGTGGTCTATGGTGCTAAAGCCCTTTCGGAAACCGGCTTGTTCGGGAGGCTGGAAGTCGTCAAGTCTGCGCGCGAGACGATTCGTAATGACTCTCGAAAACAGCACGTAGACGCGGCTCAGAAGGGAAATCGGTCTGTAGTTCTTCAAGAGAGCGTTGTCACCTTTCTTGAAGAACAAGACCACCGCACTTCTGCTCCACGCCTCCGGTGTAATGCCACCATGGAGGACGGAATTAAAGAGCTTCTGAAGGACTTCAAGTACCGGTCTTCCACCCGCTTTCAGAAGCTCCGCTGTAATTCCATCCTCGCCTGGGGCCTTACCGTTTTTAAGGTGCTGGAGAGCCATTCTAATCTCGCTCAGATTGACGTCCGGGATATCTTCGGAATAGTGTCGGATGAGACTCGCTCTTGGATCGTTACTAACACTTGCGTGTGGCTCCAACGATGACGTGTACAGCTGCCCATAGAACCTCTCAATCTCACTCAAAATCTCAGGTGTCCCGGAAACGATGCTGCCACACTCCGTCTTCAGCTTTGACAGTTGGCTCTTTCTGGCAGACAGATCTCTGGCAAAGACTTTGGAGCCTTGGTTCCGCTCGATCGCTTCTTCAATACGAGCTGTATTGAAGTTGCGTAAGTCCCGCCGCATGCATTTGGAGATCTATCTGTTCAGATGCCTGTATGCTGTCAAGTCTGTTGAAGAATGTAGCTTCATCTCCCGTCTAACAGCCATGAGATTAAGAGTGTGATCGGAGAGTTTTTGTGTTCTTCTGCGGCGGGTCTTGCAGAACTTAGCTCCGACCGCATGGACAGTTTCCACGAGCTTGTCATTCATATCGTCCACTTCATTGCAGTCTTCTAGGCACTGAAAACGGTTTTGTAACTGAGACGTGGTCCTTCACTGCTGGCCGTATGAGGAAGCTCAAGGTCGCTCAGCGAGCTATGGAGAGGGCTATGCTCGGAGTTTCTCTGCATGATAAACTTAGGAATGAGGATATCCGCAGTAGAACCAGAATAACCGACATAGCCCAACGGATTAGTAAGCTGAAGTGGCAATGGGCCGGCCATATAGCTCGAAGAACCGACAACCGATGGGGAAGAAAGGTTCGAAATCCCGCACTCGATGGAGGCGTTCACACAGAAACGGACGTAGAAAGCACGGTTTATCCATGTGTAATTTCTGTATGGATGTCTTCACGACACAGGAAAAATCGTAGTCTTATAAAATATATAATAATATACCGCACTCACTGCTCATAACTACTTATATATGACAGAATTGAAAAAATTTAGACTTACTTATCGGTGAATTATTCTATTAGGAGCATGGAGCGGAGGAAGTGTCAAAATGGCGTCTGGTTCGTGTGGATGAGAATTTCCGCGTGATCGCTTTAGGACTACCAGTGCCGCGTTATCAGGGTCAACCTCTAGACCCGCCGCTGCGCTCTCGTTTCCAAGCTAGAGATGTCACTACTATCGGATTCGGGGTAAGTATGGTTTAAATTTTAAAATGAAATAAAAACTAATTTAAATTGCGATTGTACTTCCCACAGTGGGCATTCGCTTCCCTTTATTTCGAAGTTATGGTGCTAGAAAAGTTTCGCACACTTGTGAATTGGCAAATTTCACATGTCCCTTAAAATTTTTTCTCCGAAATGATATCACCTTTATCCTTACGATTACGATATGTTCCCTAAGGCAAAGTACCTAAGTCAGCACGTGAATTTTTTTTTCTTAAAGAACGTCACCCTCACACACTAGGATTTTCTCCTGTGTCGTGGAGGCAGTTTACAAACATAAATTGCACAAGGACAAACATCCAGACACAAAACAATTATTTGTAGGCCATAAAAATACTTGTTCTGTGCGGGATTCGAACCCGCAGCCCCCAGTGCAACAACTGATTGCTAAGCCACTGCGCCACGGAGCCGTCATAAAGCCGACGAGATAACTGAAATTGCAATCAACAATTTCAGTTATCTTGTCGGTTGCTATGAAATTTGCGATGAACGTAAACGGCATAATTCGTCGCTAACGCCGCAAAGAGGCGAACCTCAATTTTTCAAAAAATTACAGGAGAAATTAATCTTACTTGTCATTTTCCATTAAGTCTAAGATATCTAATTTTCTGGTGAAAAAAGCTAGTAATCGGGGAATAATAAATGTTTTCTTGCTCTCCTGTAATTTTTTGAAAAATTGAGGTTCGCCCCTTTGCGGCGTCAACGACGAATTGATTATTTTAATAAAATTTTGACATATTTATGTGATAATATTGTATGTTGTTAAATGCAATTTTATGTGCTGATTTACTACGTGCTCGGGGTGACGTAAAATATCAATATAAAAGAAAAAAATATTTCGAAGTCATGTGAAGTCCGCCAGTACTGAAGCAGCGCGATATATTAATTGCCATAAACTCACTTAGAAAAATGTAAGAACCCTTGTAATAACATATGCTTCTCTTTTATAAATTTATATTTGCATTCTGCAAAGTCTGTAAATGTTAACTTGACGCAAATATACCATAATAAACTTAGAACAGGATTGTATTCGCTTCTAAAAGTCAAAGTCGTGCTTTGTGATATAGTAAATTGTAAACCTATTTCTAATATTTTTCATATTAATACTTACTTGAGGCATGGTCATAGTGTATAGAAGAATTTAAACCCCGACAGAAGTTACGTCAAAATTATTTGATTCCTCTTAGTGCTTTGAAGTCGACTTTTAATTTTTAACGTGGTAGAGCCATGTTGCAGCTATATTAGTAGTATAGTTGTAGCACGAATGGGTCGGCTCGACCGGACTAGGGCCACGCTCTCACCGAATACCAGTGTAAATTATCAGCTTAACGCTGCTGTGTTTCGTATGGTGAGTGTAGAGAACCGGAGCCCCTTTTTACTGGAAAAGAGGCATTCCATCTTAGGGCTCACGGGTGACAACGCATCTGCATTTTGATTCGCAAACGAGGATAGATGTAGATGTCTATGGGCCACAGCAACCACTTACCATCAGGTGGACTTTGTGCTCGTTTGTCACTCTATCTTATATAAAAAAAGTATTTTTTGACCCTTTTGAGTGGTAGACGAAGTGTATGGCGGCTCTCCACTAGATAGAGTGACGACCTGAAGATGCAGGAGGTCGATGGATGCAGGTGGTTCAGGACCGTGCTTTGTGGCATTCCTCGGGGTAGGCCTATGTTCCGCGATGGGCTGTGAAGTAGGCATTAAATACATCATCCTCTATTATGTCACCATGTGGCATGGGTGGATTTTTTTCTCCAAATTTATATGTGAACACCCCTCTTTAATGTAAGAAGAATCATTAAAATCGATTAACGATTGACAATAATATCGCGTATACAAAAAAGTAAATGCAGTCGAATTGATGACCTCGTCCTTTTTTAGAAGTCAGCTAAAATAATTGAAAAATGGGAATCATGTTCATAGCAGATTATCTTTCAATTGATGCAATGCTTTGAAAGAGTTTGTTTGTTTTTACAAATTTTATCGTTATTTGCCGTAACAATATAAGGGGAAATTCACTGTATTTATTTAGCCTATAATTAATTATCAGATCGGAGGTCGGTTTATTTTTATTTAAAATTATCGATAATTTTTCGAAAAATCATTTTCTTGTTGTTACCCTCGTCTTTTTTTTTTTAGCATTTATTCAGATTTTCCGTTATTTCCGATTGATAGAGTGGACTAGATAATAAGTGACCTATTTATGAAATGCTAAGTGTATTCATAGAGCGACACGCCACAACTTAGCGCTTTCCCATGTCAATGATATCTCTAAATCTTAATATATATCTCTCTCTCTATATATATCTTAACTTGCATAATACTTCTAACATCATTTCGTCACTCTTTAATAGAGTAGTAAACAAGTAGAAGTTTTGATTGTAATGATTTCATGCTATAATTTACTAACTAAAATGTGTTAGGACGATGAAGACGGCAATAAAGTAGAGTTAGTGAATCTCTAGGTAGAGTAAAATCAAACATTTTCAAATTTCTTTTTTTTTAATTTATCAATAAAGACAAATAAATAAAATTTATAATCGTCACATTATTATTATAATGATTTATTAAAACTTATTGTCTATATTAAAATTAAGTGAATGGGTGGCGATTCCAAGCCAAGTTGAGTCCGACATGCATTACAGAGTGTACCTTTTCTTCAAACAATTCGATGTATTTTTAAACCATTATAACTTATAATAACGGTGTGAATACTATTGGACACTTGTAGCTAAGTACCAATTGCTTTTTTTTAATTAAGGTAGGTACAGTGGTGTAGGACAGATCTTAAAATGAAAATGTTAGAGTTAGTAACATTTTAATTCCAGGCTTCGTTTTATATAAGATTGATTTAATATTACAATTTTTTTTGACAGTTGGATTGAATAACATTATTCAAGACAACTATGCCACAAGTAAGAGTTTTAAGTTATTTGACAATACTTTTTAGCAAATTATGTATATTATACATATAAATTACATTACTGATGATATAAAAAAATCGTGTTTATAAGTACTAAATATTTTGTTAAATATCAAGCATTTTCTGCATGGAAATAGCAGATTTTTTGTTTTAAGTAAATATCTAGTAAATATCTTTTTTATTATTCATATTACGCAAGCATAAATAGTACATTTTAAAATGTTCTTAAGTAAATGGTCAACTTCTTGTTAGTGTTTATACACTGATATGTTTATTTTTATTTCTATTTAAATATGTCCTTCTGGTCTATTGGTTACTTCGCCACTAATTGGCATTAAGATTTCTGTGACAGTAAACTTCCGGTTCCAGTGTTTGCAGTGGAGCCAAGTTTCTTTGCCTCCGGCATAAAAATGTGCACCTGTTTCTTTGTATTACTCAGATTGGGTATTATTTTCTTGTTAATCAATTCAGCGTATTGTTTCTCCACAGCACTCCTTTCATTGATCATTTTCTGTCTCGTCTCTACAACATTTGTTCTAATGTCTTTGACCTTTTTGTTTTCTTTTGTTTTCGCGTGGTTCTCCCGTGACGTGCTTTTGACGATTCGTGACTGTCTCGCGTAGTTTTCGATCGTTGTCGCCGATGTTGGTACGTAGAGCTCTTGTCGATCGATTGAATCACTTATTTTCGACTCTGTCGACGGTACAGGCCTGCACTCTCTGACTTTTAAATCAGTAACAGTGCGGGATTTAGTTAGATTACGCCGTTGCGTCTCTGGCCAACTGTGTCTAGGCTGACACAAACGCTCCGTGTTTTCTGATGCTATTAAATCAACTTTCCCAGCTAAGTCCAACCATTGCAGCACTCTTTCAGATAATTCATTGTTTTCTCTTACGTTAGTTCTAGCTGTTCTGTTGCTTTTTACAGCCTTCATGTCTACTGATTCGAATGTTGATTGGAAATTGTCAATATTACAATGTGGTCGGGCAGGTGATTTAAGATCGAAATCCTCTTCCCCTTCCACTTCCGTTAAATTAAGTTTTTCAATGTCTGGATCCTGAGTGATTATGATCCTATCACTTTTGATTATAAGGTCGAGTTTTCTTAAACAACTCGAATCGCTATGGTGGCTCAGTCGCGAGCTTTGAGCTTTCCGTTTAGGGTTGATGCTCGCCGATGAATGAGGTCTCCGCCTCTTAGCGTTCAGTTCGATGTAATGTGGATCGTCGTGTGTTAAGATTGCGTGTCGAAATCCGTCGATCCATACAGTTCTAATGTACATAGGACGCTGGGATGCCTGCCAGAGCACGGGCATATTAAAACACTCGAACGTTAGCCCTTAACACATTATGTCATGCGATTGCTTTCGCCATTATGGAAATAATTTTGTTTATTTTCCATAGTTGTTTTTCTATCTCGTCGTGTCGTGTTTATTTGACACCTTTCTGCAAAAAAAGGTTTTCTTTTCAGATATTATCATATCATATTATGAGTGCCGAAGGTTGAATATTTTAATATTATAAGTGTGACATATATAAGGTACCTAAGTGAAGTGCCGGTACCTACCCCACTAGATGGAGTGACGAGCTGATAAGACAATCAGTGCACCGTGTTTTGTGACATTCCTTGGCCTATGTTCAACTGTGGACTATTAAAAGGCCGTAATGAGGATGACATAAGCTATTTAGATATTAATTTGTTTAATTGTTTTCACTAATTGTTTACGTCCGCATTTTTATTCTTCTTTCCATATCGAGTTGATAGTTTTCTTTTTTAAATTTATGATGTCCGATAAAGTACTTGGCCGTGAATGTGTAGTGGCGTTGTAAATATATCCACTACTCAATATCGTCCCGTGGATGTCGTAAGAGGAGACAGAGGGAAACAAACCAGGAGATGGACATCAGAGTCATCCTAATAATAACTAAAAAATGAAAAAGTAATTGCCGACCCGCCCGCTAATCATGGCAAATATCCCCCTATGAGGCCATCTATGGGGGAGGTTTATGTTCAGTAGTGGACTTTTCATAGGCTATAACGA